ATGCTTGTTGTATTCTACTCATTGAAGACCTTTCAAACGACATGTCACATGACTATCCGAGCTGTTTGATGTATTTGACATATTGCAAGTTTTTCATAAATTATGAAAAAAAATCTTTTTTTCTATTTATCAGCAAATAACTCAGCACTACTTAGGCTTCGTTCATAGTTAAAGTCCAGACTCTAAGCATCTATACAAATGACACATATTTTGAGTTGATTATGGTAGTAGTTTAGAAAAATATGATTATATTTTAACAATCAAATTAAAATCTAATCTTTTTATATTTTATGGGGGGTGTACAGTTTAAGGAAACCCTTATGCCCTCCGGCTGCACATTCGGACAGCAGTGCCTGGTGGGTTGGAGAGTTTGTTTCGCAAAAGATGCGTTTTCCCTGATAAATATAAGTTTGTGTGACTCTCAAACCTGGAAGAAGTGCAGCTGTTTCTCCAGACTCCAGAAGAAGGGGTGTTTCAGCACTCGCTCGGACGAGGGCCTCTTCTCCGGATCGTTGCTCAACATCTGCTCGATCAGGTTCCGGCACACAATACCCTCTGCGTCAAACAGCAGGAACAGTCACATGATCAGAAACCTTCTGTGACGGACATTCTGCCCCAAAATGAGCTGGTGTTTGTGGTCAGGGTGTGCTTTGAGTGTGTGTTTGTTGGTCAGGGTGTGCTTTTTTGTTTTAACAACTGTTTATTGAGTTTTCTTTTTTTTTTTTTTAAGGTCAAGAAATGAAGGGTTCAGATGCAAAAACCTCTAAGTGCCATTTGAAATTTTCTTCTAAAATGATCATTTTTATCAAGCTTGTATATTTAAATTCAGTAATTTCACTTAAATGGCAATGAAGATTACCTATTAATTGTCATTTTTGTCATTTTAATTGTCAGTTTGATAAAAATTGTCATTTTAGAAGAAAATTTCAATTGGCATTTAGAGGCTTTTGCATCTGAACTCTTCAAATACAAAAATACAAGGCAAAAAGCAACTATACAATTCTAGAACCCACCCAACACCATGAGTGTGTGTGTGTGAGGTGGTGGCAACCTGTGTGTTGATCAGAAACCTGCCTGTGATGTACAGTCAAACCAACATATATTCAGACATTTCTCACATTATTAGTTTCTTCGCTATAGTTTAGAAAATGGTAGTAAATATGAGCAGAACTCAGAGTTATCAGTGGATATTTGACTGGTTTTGTCCGTCCTTCTGTCAGACTCTCACAGATGAATTATGATGAATATCTGTCAGCTGTTAAATTTAACTACACAATTAGATAATACCAGTTTAGATCAACCGATTACCAAGTAATTCTTAATGTTGTTCAGTCTGTGTGTAAAAAGAGCATAAGCAATTCCAGAAAACACACTTCAGCAAAACATGGTCAGCTCAAAGTGGAGGAATTGGTTTGACTGTACATTTTGCCCCAAAATGAGCTGATGTGTGTTGAGCTGGTGTGTTTGGTCAGGTTGTCATACGAGTGTGTGTGGTAACACTTTACAATAAGGTTCATTAGTTAACATTAGTTAACTACATTCGTTAACATGTACAATATGTGAACAATACTTCTTCAGCATTTATTAATCTTAGGGTGTATTCACACCAGGAAAGTCCGATAGTTCACTTGCTTTGGTCCGGACTAAATAAATAAATTTTTTTTTGGTACGGTTCGCTTTCACACTGCTCTTTTTGCAAGTGAACCAAAATTTGTAAACCAAACCACACGTGTGCTAAGGTCGTCCATTTATTGGACAAGGATTCTCAAGGGAAATCAGGAAGTGCAAAAAAGGCTCAGCATGGAGATATTTCCATATATTTCATACTGCAATATTTGTTCTTTTACTAATTTTGTGTTAATTCTGTACAAACGCAATATGAAGAAACTAATGAGTACCATATGATACAATGCCATCTATACGAAGTTGTAATTCGGATTTTGAGAAGACGACGAGTGTAACGTTTGAGTGGCTCTATAAACGCGGGGAAATACGACAACTCTCGTCTCTCGTGCATCTTTTCATTCGACCACCTTCTGTTTTTTTTTTTATCTCTGGGCAACATCTCAACTTTGCGTTACAAGTGGCACTGCACAGAAGACGGAGAAGGTATAAAGTTTTCATTCATAGAGAGGGGCTATGTTCACTCATTCAAATAATGAGATTCTTATTGTGTACTAACAAGTGCTGTCAATGTTAACGCTTGCGATTAAGTTTGTCCAGTTTAACGTAAATTAACGCATCATCATCCTTGTATTGTAACTATCTAGGGGGCAAACAAACTAGAGTTCGATTCAATCGAACCAAACAAGGCAGGTGTGAATACACCCTTAGTTAATATTAATGCCAACATTTACTAATACGTTATTAAAATCAAAGGTTGTATTAGTTAACATTAGTTAATGGACTGTGAACTAACATGAACGCACAACGAACAGCTGTATTTGTATGAACTAACATTAACAAAGATTAATAAACACTGTAACTAATGCACTGCTCATCGTTAGTTCATGTTAGTTAATGCATTTACTAATGTTAACTAATGAACCTTATTGTAAAGTGTTACCGTGTGTGTGTTGGGCTGGCGTGTGTTGGTCAGGGTGTGATACGAGTGTGTGTGTGTGTGCTGGTACCGTGTGTGTCGGGCTGTAAGAGGTCGAGGGAATAGGCCCCCAGCAGAATGTTTGCCTGTCGCTGCAAGGACTTCCCGAACGGGTGTTGGCCTTCAGAAAGCACATAGTAAAACACACATCCTGCAGAGAAGATGTCCACCATGCAGGTCTGAGGAGAACAACAGGACAACGCATCAAACATATGAAGTGCATCAAACGTATGAGACGAGGCTGTAGAGATTAACACGGCTCCTTCTCCCTCTGCTTTCAAGTCTCTTCTAAAAACATCCTGTTTTCTTCAGTCAACTGATTTTTTTCATCGCTAATTTATATTTGATTCAGTTTTATGGTTCGATATGTTGCACTTAGTTTTATTTGTTGATATGCATGCTCTGTTAATCTTGTTGCTCTGTTGGGTCAGTCCAGAGGCTGTAGTAAATGTGCCAAACAAAAACCGCTCGCTCCATTTCTGTAAGTGTGTTATGATGAATGAATGAGATCATGGGTAATCCACTGCTCATCCTGCAGCTCCCGGATGTGCGTGTTGAACCTGAACTGAATTTGTAAAGCGAAATAAAATGGACTGAAAATGTCCTGTCGAATATAACAGGTTGACTTTGGAAGTGAAATCTGAAAGGTGAATATGAATTATTGAATCTTATATAATATTGGTGACACTGAGACTAAATGAGTCTAAACACTTTTATTGCACTTCCTAATCTCAGCTCATGATCATTTCCACATTCAATAGATTTCAATGTCTCCCACTTCACTTCCTGTCGATAATCTATACATCTTTATCTTTTAAATAACAAACAAACTTGTATTTTAAACGAACACAGTCAAACAATAAACAAAAGTATTTTTATAAATGAATAATTACAGATTCATATGAATAAAAAATGTGTTATTGATCCATCATTTCTAATAAATGATCATCATTTCCGGGATCGGTTAGCCATCATCTCCTTACATTCCTTCAGATTAGTCACACACAGTGATACCAATGAACTGTTCATCACACTTTAGAAGCAAAGCTCATGGAAAGGAAAGCTCATCTTATAAATGAAGCACAAAGCCTTCATAAAAAATAACATTTATAAGGAGTAAAATCATAACTAACAATCTTATGATGAACCAGTGTCACTTTACCATTGATAAAGATGTCACACTTTAATTTATCAATTTAAATATGGGGACTATTTTTCATTCTTTTAGACGTGTTTAACCCTTGTGCAACCTATGGACGTGTTGCCTAACACGTGCCTGTGTTAATGCCAACCGCACAATTATCAGCACAGGTGTGTGTCTTTACTGGGATTTTACTATTTCACCCCCATTTCCTTTCATTAATCTATTGAGTCCCTGGGCCATTAAACTACAGTGGTGTGAATAAGTTGGCACCCATGCTAAAGTTGCCTAAAAAAGAGGAATAAAAAATCATCTTTTGGACATTGATCTTAATGCCTTAACCCTTGTGCTGCATTAGATTTTCAACACCGTTGAGTGCATTAAGGACCACAAATGGCCACATATTAAACATTGCCTAAAATATTATATATTATTATTATTTTCCACTTTTACCAAGTTAAATCTTTTAACCAGCATCAGTCCTCATTATAACTACCAAAAATGTATTCAATTTCAGGATTTTAACCCTTTAATTACCAGTTTTGTTTGCGAAACCATCGATTTGTATAAGAGGAAAAAACACAAAAATTCAATTATTTTCAATAAACTAAATGCAAAGAGAAAACTTTAGATTTGGATTATCACAGTCCCACTTTGCAAAAAATCCCACTTAGCGCGTTAGAGACCAAAAATGGCCACCTATTAAACATTGCCTATTGCCTAAAATAAGGTGCATTTCCACCCATAGGGAATAAATATGTAGTGACGTCATCTGGTGGAATACACTATATAATGCAAATATAATGCTTTTGCTTCAAAATGAAAGGATGTTTGTGCAAAAATCATGTTTCATGTATTACTGACAGCCTCAGATTTAAACAACGTTTTAATGGGTTTCAATGGGCCATTTTTGGTCTTTATGGTGCTGAGTGTTACTATTTGATCTACACAGTGTGTGTTATACATATTTTGCAAAATGGGATCACATTTTTTACATGTATCCAAAAAGTCACAATTTTGCCAAATTTCATACCATTTGCATTAAAACAGCCAAAATGGTCAAAGAAAAATAAACTGCAAAAGACCAAAAATGTCCCTAATGCAGCATAAGGGTTAATTAGAAAAATGATGAAAACATCAACCATTAAGGACACAAATTTTCTTTGTGAATGAATAATGCATCATAAATAAATAAATAAATGTTTTTCCTTAAAATACAGGGTGCATAAGTCAGGGCACCCCTATGTTAAATTCCCATAGAGTCAGGCAGATTTTTATTTTTAAAAGCCAGTTATTTCATGGATCCAGGATAATATGCATCCTGATAAAGTTCCCTTGGCCTTTGGAATTAAAATATCCCCACATCATCACACACCGTTCACCACACCTAGAGATTGGCATGGTTTTACTTCAGTTAGCCTAAGTAATAGCTGGTTTGATTTGCATTGAAAGATGATCTTATGGAAAATACCCCATGCTAGGTGTGGTGGAAGGTGTGTGATGATGTGGGGATATTTTAATTCCAAAGGCCAAGGGAACTTTATCAGGATGCATATTATCCTGCATCCATGAAATAACTGGCTTTTAAAAATAAAAATCTTTACATAGGGGTGCCCTGAGTTATGCACCCTGTATTTTAAGGAAAAACATTTATTTATTTATGATACATTATTCATTCACAAAGAAAATTGATGTCCTTAAAGGTTGGAGTTTTCCTCATTTTTCTAATTAAGGCATTAAGATCAATATCCAAAAGATGATTTTTTTATTCCTCTTAGCATGGGTGCCAAAACTTATTCACACCACTGTATAAAATGATGTAATCTTTGTCAAGTTGCTGTTACCAAGAATCAACATTTTAATGTTCAAAATCTCACTTTTTACAATGTTCCCACCAGATGGCGCCGTTTTCGCAGGTCTATAGAGCAAATCCTCGCTTTATTCCTGTTTTCTGCTCATGCCAATTGGATAAATGATGCAACTATACTTGTGTGTGTGTCAGAGTGAGTTTTGTATGCGTGTAATAAAACATGTTTGTGTGTGTGTGTGTGTGTGTGTGTGTAATATTTGAGAGAGAGAAAAAAAACACGCTCTGACTGAAAGCTGATGTTTGGAGATATCATCCTCAACCTTAAAACAAAACTTGTTAAGATTCATGGCTTTGATTTTAGACACTTTTAAACACTTTTAGAGTCAAAAATATCTATTTTATATAAAATATTGCTCATAAATCATTTTCAGAAACTTAAACCTGTATTACTTTTTTTTTAATATAAAGTGTTTTTGGTTACACTTTATTTTAAGGTGTCATTGTTACAGTGTAATTATATATTTCAATATTAGTCAACTACATGTACTTACTATAGGGTTAGGGCAGGATTAGGGTTTGGTTGAGGGTGTGATTTTGCATAATTTACTGTTATTACTACGGTAAGTGCATGTAACGCATGTAAAATAAAGAGTTCCCCAGTTCTGGACTTGCTCTCACCGGGTTGTGCTTGGCGTCCTCACTGAGCACCTCGGGAGCGATCCAGCCCTCGGTTCCCGGGACGCCTGACTTCCTGCTGAAGCTGTGCCGGCCCACCGCCAGCTTCTTACACAGCCCGAAGTCCGAGATCATGGCCTTCGCACGCCCGTGTGTGTTCGGCATCGACACCAGGATGTTGTGCGGCTTCAGATCCCGGTGGACTATCAACCCACGAGAGACCCATGAGAGTTACCAACTGACTGACACTGATTAACAGGCCTAAAAGCAGACTAGCTAAAGGAGGAGTTCACTTTGAAATTAATTTTTGGTATGTTTTATCTTACCTCAAGGGCATCCAAGATGTAGGTGTCTTTTTTTCCACAGTATTTTCAATTTTGACATTTTTAGGTCAAACGGTCTATTAGTCATATAATGGAGGTCTATGGTCACCACCTCAAAGAGCATGCACAGAGAAGTCCAGATTAAACATGATTTAATGACTCGTGAATGTAAGTACACATTGATGGCCTAAGACACGAAACGAGCGGGTTGAGTGAGAAAACGAACAGTATTTATATCGTTTTTACCTCTTGTAATCACAGCCACGTCCAAGTGATCTGAGGGCGCGGGCGCTTCGGTCTGCAGTTGTGAAAAATATTCAACGTTGTCTGTTGATATATCGAAATCATCTTCCATTGCGATTTCCTCTATATCTAAATATGTTTAGATCTTCACAGTGAAGGATAACACTTCTGAAATCTGTGTAAACAATGAGTGACGTACACGCACGAGAGATCAGTTGGACGTGGCTGTGATCACAAGAGGTAAAAACGATATAAATACTGTTCGTTTTCTCACACAAACTGCTCGTAGGTCACATCAATGTGTACTTACATTTACGAGTCATTAAATCATGTTTAATTTGGACGTCTCTGTGCATGCTCTTTGAGGTGGTGACCATAGACCTCCATTATATGACTGACAGACAAGAACGGTTTGACCTAAAAATATCAAAATTGAAAATACTGTAAAAACAAAGACACCTACATCTTGTATGCCCTTGAAGTAAGATAAAACATATCAAAAATTAATTTCAAAGTGAACTATCCCTTTAAGGGAGGAGTTTACTTCAGAATTAAAATGTCCTGATAATTTCCTCACCCCCATGTCATCCAAGATGTCCATGTCTTTCTTTCATCAGTCGAAAAGAAATTAAGGTTTTTGATGAAAACATTCCAGGATTTTCTCCATATAATGGACTTCAATGGGGTCCAACCCATTACGTAATCAGGTTGAAAGGTAATGCGTGCTCTAGTTCAGAAATGAAGGGAGTTCTCCTTCAAAATCAACATCGTTGTTTTACCTTTTATTTATTTATTTATTTTATAAAATGGCTTTATTCTTCGCACGTTGGCTTTGTCACACTCTGTCGTTCTTCCGCCTTCGTCACCCTTGACCTTTCAACCTGATTAGCATCACATCACGTGTCGAGACTTTGAAGCTTCACTGAAACTCACATCTGGATTTTCGACCTGTTGGACCCCATTGAAGTCTCTAAAAGGAGAAACATCCTGGAACATTTCCCTCAAAAACCATAATTTCTGTTCGACTGAAGAAATAAAGACATGAAGATCTTGGATGACGTGGGGGCGAGAAAATGATCAGATGAACTCCTCGTTTAAACATGTATCAGTGATGTCACAGATGATGTTACCTATATTAAGGGAATGTAGATGAGACAGCCCAGACATGGTTTGCTCTAGCAGCGTCACTGGCTCCAATCCATGCCGGTCAAAATCCTTGCGCTCCACATACTGGATTAAACAAAATAAGTAAATAAATAAGCAATTATTTACAAATAAACACCAATATATTGCATAGCATGACATTAAACTGAGCATTTTAGGCATGATCTAAGTCTCTGATATAGTGTTAACATATATATAATTATTATTTTTATTATGCTTTCAAACTGTACAGAGATGACATTATTGATATACAATTTTTATACAATACACAAAATACATCAACAAAATGTTCAATGTCATCTGAACATACTGGACATTGAGGTTGTTTTAAAACCTGGTTTGTTGTTGGTGAATTTACATTTATGTATGTACAATTTGCCAAGAAATATTTTTTTTTTAATTTATCAATTTATCCCAAAGCAAACTTTAGTTTTCAGTGGCGTCAAAATAAAAGTCTCCCAAAAATAATGTGTTTAAAGGTTATGGATAAATCTTGCTGGATATTCTCTTTAATAAATGTGTCAATATGTTCCTATAAATCAGTGATATATAGAAATATGACCGAAATAAATGATTTCAGTGAAAGAGTGAACTTGGCAAAATGAGCATCTTGTGTTAATATTAATTTGATATTTAACCATAAAATATTCAACAGGGTAAAATGTATTTATTATTTTGAAAGACACTTCTATTACGCACATACAGTATATATGTGTGTATATATATATATATGTGTGTGTGTGTGTGTCAGAAACAGCAGTGAAGCGTCAGGTTGTGTGTGTCACCTCCTGCAGTGTGTGTCTGCACAGCTCTATGGCGATGTACTGGAACTGGCGGTCTCTCTCGGTGCAGAAGTAGCGGATCACGTTCGGGTGCTCGTCCGACTCCCGCAGAAGCTGAACCTCTCGATCAGCAAAACTGAAGCATTCTGGGAGAATCCTCTTCACAGCCACGGGACGGTTGTCAAACTGACCCCTGAAAGCACACGGAGGGAAGACCACAGGCTCACAACCTGAAGCAGCGGCAGCACGTCAAAAACTACAAACCTATCGCTTTCATTCGAACCATTTCCATTCCAATACGGCGAAACAAACAAACAAACTTGCACATCGTTCACATTTAGTCTTATTGCAAAGCTGAAAATCATGAACAGGCTAAACATGAAGACTTACACAAGGAGTGTAAGAACAACTAGCCGAACTAATATACATGTCAAGCATTTAAAGTAAACACTCAGTGATTAAAGAAGAATGAAAAATGTGCAATTTTTAAGATGTTCAGGTATTCAGGCCGGAAACTGTAATCAAATGTAAAATAACCACTTTATAAATAAAATATACATTACAAATATAGCTATTCAGTCGAGAACGAGCATGTTTTCTCTGCGTTTTGTTGTGAGATCAGTGTTATTATAGAGGCGCAGCTGTCACTTTAAGAGCCTCACGGGTCCAGTACACTGATACACACGCCTGCAGTCGCCTCACGCTTGACTGGCTTACAGTCATACTGAAATACTCACAGAGGAATCAATAAGAGGAACTGAAATCTTGATTTTAAAGCAAGTGTGTGAGTCCTGGCCTGAAGAGTTAAAGAAGTCTTGCCTGTACACGATAGTCCCCTCGGCGCCGTGTCCAAGCACATCTCTGGGGCTGAATCGGATGTTCCCGATGCGCACCATGCTGGACTCTTCCTCTGCAGGAAGACAATAACAGTCAACCAACACATCAGGCAAACGAGAGTAAATGGTGATGGACACTGCTGGGCCAACGCTTCGGATCGGGAAGATTTGAAAAGTCTCTTAAAAGGCTGCATTTATTAAAAAAAACGGTAATATTGGTAAATATTACAACAAATTTAAAATTACTGTTTTAATATATTTAATCAAAGCTGAATATTACTCACATGATCCTTCAGAATTCACTCCTATACGATGATTTTATGCTCATTAACATTAATTATTATTAATATCAATGGTGAAAACAGTTATTTGTGTTTTTATCTCAGGATTCTTTGACGAAGTTCAAAAGAACAGCATTTATCAGAAATAGAAATCTTTTGTCACATTAAACACTAACGTTCAAAAGTTTGGGGTCAGAAATAATTATTTTATTTTATTTTTTGGGGTAAAAGAAATGAAAGAAATCAATACGTTTATACATCAAGGATGAATTAATCTGATCAAAAGTTACAGTAAATAGATTTATAATGTTACTAAAGATTATATTTCAGATAAACGCTGTTCTTTTGAACGTTATATTCATCAAAGAATCCTGAAATAAAATCATGAATAACTGTTTTCAACATTGATAATAATAATGAATATTTCTTGAGCACCAGATCATCATATTAGAGGATCATGTGACACTGAAGACTGGAGTAATGATGAGGAAAATACAGCTTTGATCACAGGAATAAGTTACAGTTTAAAGTATATGCGCATAGAAAACTATTATTTTAAACTGTAATAATATTTCACAATATTACAGTTTTTTGTATTTTTAAGGCGAGACAGTGCAGGTGAATGGGTAAAATTTTTTAAATAATAGATATCACCATGAAATGTCCTCAGTTCATTACTTACACAAGTATATAAAAAAAAATGTATAAAAAAGTAAAAAAAAAAAAAAGTTTTTGAAATGTGTGTTTAATTATGTAAATTAGGCATTATCTCATTAAATATGCGCAATTTTCCATATATTTTCGGTAGATAGATCCGAACTCTTTTTTTCATTTTGTTTACACACAAGAGGGATTTCAGGATATATGCTTTCATTACCTAGGAAATCAAAATATACTGTCCATAGCCTTTAAAAATCGATTTTCGCCTTATTTATTTTTTTTTTTTTATTAAAATGTCACATAAATCAGGCCAGGAATGATTTATTAACAAATCCCTCTGAAAACATCTTCAGAATACTGTATAGAATAGTGTATAACTGGAGAGTTTGTTGTACATAGGCTGAGATATTTCTACTGGTAAGTTTGTATTTGTATCTCATCTGGCTCATAAGCTATAGTCGAATCCCTTTTAGGCGGCGGCCATATTGGATTTGCCCGCCATCTTGGTCTCAGGGACCATTGGCTTGGGCGCTCTGGCTAAATCATTTCAGTATGCCCTCAGCTACATCTGTGCCAAATTTGGTGCTTGTAGATGAATTCGCGCGAACAATGGGATGTAAGGCCCCATTCTACAGCCCAATCTGCTTTTTTGGACAGCGGCCATATTGGAATTGGAGGATCAAGGGGTCCAGATATACTGGGTCATAAATATAAACATTTCTATGTGTTTCCCATGATTAATTAAGCTGAAAAACATATCAAGTTTGTATTTGTAACTCATGTGGTTCAAAAGTTACAGCCGGAACCCTTTTCGGGCAGCGGCCATATTGGATTTGGCCGCCATCTTGGCCCAGAGGGCCGCTGGCTCCGGCGCCCTAGCGAAATTATTTCAGTATGACCCGAGCTACATCTGTGCCAAATTTGACACTTTTAGATGAATTTGCGCGAAATTACCTATTTATGTGCTTAAAGGGTTAGTTCACCCAAAAATGAAAATTAAGTCATTAATTACTCACCCCCATGCTGTACCAACCCCGTAAGACCTTCGTTCATCTTCGGAACACAAATAAAGATATTTTTGATTGAATCTGGGGGCTGGATCACTCTTCCATAGACAGCCTGAGGGACTGCCTCTTGACGGCCCAGAAAGTCATTAAAAGAAAAGGTTTAAATATTCCATGTGCCTACAGTGGCTCAACTATAACTTTATCAAGCGACGAGACTACTTTTTGTGCGAAAAAAAAACGTAAATAACGACTTTATTCGACTTTCCATTACTTCCTTATGGGCGCATGCGCGAGAACTGAGACGAGACCGTTCTTCTTTGACTACTTTTTGTTACCGGCTGCTCACCGCTTAGGAGTTTTACCGCCCCCTACCGTATAAGATGACGTACTGATATAGCCGGAGGCGCAAAACGTTCTGTTTACAAGCAGTACGTCATCTTATACGGTAGGGGGCGGTAAAACTCCTAAGCGTTGAGCAGCCGGTAACAAAAAGTAGTCGAAGAAGAACGGTCTCGTCTCAGTTCTCGCGCATGCGCCCATAAGGAAGTAATGGAAGTCGAATAAAGTCGTTATTTACGTTTTTTTTTTCGCACAAAAAGTAGTCTCGTCGCTTGATAAAGTTATAGTTGAGCCACTGTAGGCACATGGAATATTTAAACCTTTTCTTTTAATGACTTTCTGGGCCGTCAAGAGGCAGTCCCTCAGGCTGTCTATGGAAGAGTCATCCAGCCCTCAGATTCAATCAAAAATATCTTTATTTGTGTTCCGAAGATGAACGAAGGTCTTACGGGGTTGGTACAGCATGGGGGTGAGTAATTAATAACTTAATTTTCATTTTTGGGTGAACTAACCCTTTAAGAGCCCCCAACTATGGAGAATGACAAAAAAACTAATTTTAAGAAAAAGGCATTTAAAGATTTAAGGAGGGAATTCAATACATTTCTATTGGAAAAAAAGCTCAAAAACAGAATAAATGCTCAGGCCCTTAGTAATAATAATATATAATATTTCAAGCTCAAGCAAACTGATTATTTAATAACATATAAGTCCTACAACTGCAGCAACTCAATGAATTAACATTGGTAGAGTACACCATGTGATGTGTCTGAGCGAATCGCGTTAGCAGAAACCAGCAGTTGCCATTGAGATTTCGTCATTAGCTTTAGATCACACTTTGGACAGTCACGATTGGTTACTGATAGGAAATGCCCATATTTGGGTTACACAGCGTTGTGCAGGAGACTGAGAGCTTTCCAACGATACCGCTCATGACAGACTTCAGTAAACTGACGGGTGCGGCGTGACGCGCTGGAATGCTAACTTCTTGGTAAATTCGGGCGAAATTTACTGCCGCAAGTAAACTAAATGTAATAAAATAAACATCTTAATGTATATTGTCAATGTTTTCTTTGTAGCCGCTTGAAAGAACACATATTGAAGGAGTAAACTAGCCCAAAACCTCAAAACTGACCACTGCATGGAAAATCGATGTTTTATGTCTCGCCTTAATCAAATAAATGCAGCCTTAGAAGAGACTCTTTCAGAAACATTAAAGATGTTCTCGATCCCGAACTCGACTGCTAGTGTGTGCGTGTGTGTGTGTGCGTGCTTACCGGGGTCGTCGTGCTCGCTGGCGGAGTGTCCCGCCTCGGGCTGGGAGGCGCTGGAGTGGTTGGAGGCGCGCGGGGTGACGTTGGGGCTGCTGTGGGACGAGCTCTCGCACCGCGGACGGCCCGGCTCCAGGAACTCCGAGTCTGCGGGCGGCTGGAACACCAGATGCTGCCGCTGGAGCAACTCCAGCTTCTCCTCCATCTGAGCCTGGAACTGCTGGTGCTGGAGCTGCTGCTGCTTCTGCACATTCTGAACACACACACACTCATCAGACACAACACAACACTGTCATCAGAGGACGACACAAGACAACACTCTGACCAGACACACAACACCATACTCTCAGACCTACAGCTACATTAGGGACGCACCGATATGAACATTTTGGCCGTTACCGATAACCGATATATCGGCCGATAAATCTAAATCCAATTTTTTAATGTAAGCAAATAAGGTACGAGAGGCTGTGCTGTATCGTGAGTAACGGCTGAAGGGCGTAGTTAGGCTCGACGTGAAGCGGAGTAACCCCTTCAGCGGTTACTTATTCACCATACAGCACTTGCCTCGAATACCTTATTGCTTTTATAAAACGGTTACCACAAAATACAAATATAAAAGTAAAAAAAAAATGTATTAGTGCAACTTTCATGAAGTAAAATCAATAAAGGCCTTCCCTCCGCTAGAAAAAATAGTCCCTGAGCGTGAACAGTAACAACTCTCCAATGTGTAAAATGCATGAAAGCTCAAATAAACACAACAGAGGAACTGCAGTGTTGCGCAGTGACACATCGAACCGTTGGGTAAAGCGGTCATAGCCATCTGTTATCATGAATAAAGCACAAATATTGACCAATCACAATCAAGAATGGGAACTAACCGTTTTATACAATTTTTGAGAGCCTGATTACAAAAACAAGTTTCACCATTAAAATACATCTCCCAAACACACACTTATAATGATGTTCTCATGATAATCTTATGTTACCGATATTAAAGATTTAACTAGCCTATGTTTTAACTAATCTTTAACTAATCTTATGATTTAACTAAACTTAGATTTAACTAATCTTATGTTACCGATATTAAAGATTTAACTAGCCTATATTTTCCTTTTTTTGAAGTGATTGCAATCATATTTCAAGCAATTCAAATCCATGTTGAACAGAGCGCATCTGAAGCGTCTCAGCTTTTTATCAGCTCATTATTTATCGGCTTATTTTATAGCTATCGGACAAATGTTCTTATCAGGCCGATAACGATAACATTAAAAATGTTTAATGTTTATTTAATGTTAACATTAAAAACATATATTGGCCGATAGCGATATGGTGCCCGATATATCGTCTACATTCAAACCCCCGCCATTTTAATATATATATATATATATAATATTTATTATAATAATTATAATAATATAATTATAATAATTATAATAATAATTATATATATATATATTTTTTTTATTTTTTTTCTTATTTTTTATCTTTTTTTTTTCATTAATTTTTTTCCTTCATTTTTTATTTTTTATTTTATTTTTTTTGTAACCACCTCCTAGTGGACCTTCTCTATATATGCAGGCTATTTGTCATTCAGGTGCTCCCAATCCAATTAGAATCTACAAAAGAGGGAATTGTTTGTTTGAAAAAATATACCCTGAAGAAGGCTGTTTGTGCCGCTACGCGCGGGTTAATTTTTCCCCCACGTTTTTAACTTTTCTATTATGATATAGCCAGTCCAATAAATGCTTTTTAATTGTCTAAAGATTTTCTTTTTCAGACGTTGAACTCCCGAGCCCAAAGAGCACCTTCCAACACCTTTTTGAACTCCCTGAGCACCCTGGACATTTTCTCTCAGCCATTTTAATTTTAAAAGCGCTCCCTGTCCCTGTTTCAAGCGTTTTCCAAAAGTAGTATCATCTCACTGACGGAACGAGTCACTCTCCAATGGGCCTATACCTTGGGATAGGTGATGATGAAGGCCACCCAGCCGGCCAGGAGGAAGGTGCAGAAGATGATGGTGGCCATGTCCTTCAGCATGGAGTCCACTGGCGTCTCCACGCGCGGGACACGGCCGGACTTCTCCTGCAGGGCCGACACCGGCGGACGCAGCGGACTGTTGTCCTCCATCCCGCTCTCATTCACTTTCTGAAACACATTTTAGCATTAACACATCAGTTACAAAGGCTATTCCATGGCAGATACAGATAATAATCGAGCTTTCAGTAAAATCAAACATATCTATCCACAAGTTTCCGAGGGGCGCTCCTGTAAAAAATAAAGTGGGTGAAACTTCCGGTGACGCGGCGGAAGTAGCATTCCAATGGTATTTTGTGTGTTAGTTAGCCAAGAGGCTAGCTGTTTTTCAGAGAATTATTTTACTATTTAAAGACGCAAATCTTTATGAGAGATGTCGTTACGGAGCTCAGGGACAACATGTGCTGTTCGCGGTTGTATGTATAACCGGATTAAACTAGTTCAGTGGCTTAAACGTGATTGTTTTGAACATAAGCTGAAAACGAAATCAGAGTGATCCTGCCAACGACTGTAGTTTCCATCACCTCCCAAAAGACGACGAATCTTCCTGTGTACATTTGTTTAAATTCTTAATATTCTATAAACTCTCTCAGCATGTGATTGGCTGTTCGCTACTGATGTTACACCTAAACTCAGGATCAAAGCCTGTGTTGACAGAATACCAAATGTGCCAGTTAATGTATTCAAGCAGCACATTCATTTATAATTTTGAATAAACTCCAAAGCACAATGACTAAGTGTGTATTTTTTATTTTAATTGTTTGTCAGCTCGCACAACTGTCTGTCACCATGCCTTGATGAGTATTGATTATTAATAATGTTATTATAATACTCCCAATCAACTACTGCGGAGGTAAAGGTACTGTTATTTCACCCTTTTTAATTTCGTTGAGGTTGTGTTCCCACATCGTTAGCTAGTTTGGATCGCTATAACTTGAATGACTGTCAACTGTTGAATGAACGAGTGTGAAGTATGTCAAGTTGCGCTTTGTTTACTTCCAACCGGAAGTCGCGCCCACTTTTGACGCAAGGCCTCATGGGGCGTAGGAAACTTGTGGATACAACATCTGTAATAAACAAGATTATTTTGCTGTACTTCAGATTGTGAAAGTTTTTCTGGGCAATCTTGCATGTTTTGTAGTCAAGAGCCCTAATCAGACGGTTATTGTTTCTCATGTGGACGTCTGTAATCAAAGAAATGTGATGATTGAGCATTAGTGATGAACACCTGCTGTTAACAAGCAAAATCACCGAAGAAATGAGAAACACAAGAACTACAAGTGGTTTCAACCACAGCCACAGCCTTAAGCCCTATTCGGACGGTAATCGTTTCTGATGTGGACGACTGAAATCAAATAAACTTGCACGTCAGTGATAAAACCCATTAAACATTAAAACATTCGGATGGAGATTTATTGATGCGGAGGAGTGAGTTTTATAATCCCGGGTCAGTATAATTCACATGGTCAGTCACATGATTGTCTGCTGTGAATAAAATGTCATACAAATACACTAATATTTAATTTAATAATATAAATGTCCTGTTTATTTATTATTTAAATCTCCGTTTTAAAAATAGGAGGCTACGCTATACTTGTATTTTAAATGGTTTGCAGTCTAACAATTTATCTCAAAATGATGGATTTTAAATATGGAAATTAGAAGAAATAAGATAATGCAGCCTTATACTTAAATGAGGTAAACATAACATTGCTTGGTTTATATTTTTAATGTATATCATTGTATAGCCCTCATACGTTTCCATTTAATCAATCATATTTTTCCCCAGTAACACATGCAAACATCATCGGCAAACCCCCCATTCATCGGTACTTTTGGGCCTATAACATTTCAAATACCGTTTATTTCAATCGATGCAGCCTTGAGCTCTCCTGGTTCTCAAGTGTGGAAATGTGAAACTTGAAAACATCTGCCTCTTAGAATAAAAGATTTACAAGTGTGCTGCCACAAGTCCTTTTTTAATAATGTGGTGATCTAAAGGGCTCCTAAAACTGCTGTAAAGGTCACGTATCTAGAGATCAGACATCGTCTCACGGGTGTATTACACGCTGTACCTCTTCCATGGTCTTCTCTGTGGCCGGAGGGATGATGTTAACGTGCTGGCGAGGGATGTTCTCCGGAAACTTCTCCAGGATCTTGTTCTGAGCATCAGGTGGCGTCTCGTGGTGACCTGTGGAGAGAAACACACTGCTGTTGAGCACACACACACCATACCTCATTAAAGAGAAGAGGGAAGATACTTATTAACAATCATGACATATTTACAAATCACAAATTCCATGCTTTTAGTAGTGCTGGGCAACGATTAATCGCATCCAAAATAAAAGTGTGTGTGTAGAATGCACACATATGCATGTCTATTTCAGATATATTTACACGTATTTAGTGTATATTTAATTACATGATATATAAATATTTTAAATTAGGGCTGTCAAACGATTAATCGCATCCAAAAATAAAAGTTTGTGTTTACATAAAAATACACACACATTTATATATAAAATATTTATATTTACATTTTATATAAATTATATAATAAATCTATATATATGAAAATATTTTTTAAATATATACAAGCATGTGTGTGCATTTATATATAAAATAATTATACACAGTGCACCCACATATATTATATAAACACAAACTTTTATTTTGTATGCGATTAATCGCGATTAATCGTTTGACAGCCCTATTTTAAATATAAATAACACATTTTTCTTAAATAAAATTATATAAATGCATGTGTGTGTATTTATATATACAATATAAACACACACATATATATTATGTAAAAGCTTTTATCTTAGATGCGATTATTTATTGCCCAGCTCTAGTTTTTGGCAAACTTTTAGATCACTTTTGCATTGGCGCTTCAGCACTGTTCTCTACACAGCATGAAGATGCATTGTGACTGTCACTGTAAAGTTTCCAGCGTCTCCACTAGAGGGCGTGATGGACACACACACACACACACACACACACACACACACACACACACACACACACACAGTGTGTACCTATCAGCAGGAGAGAGTTCCTCATGAAGTTGATGCGGTTCCTCTCTCTGAGCGCTGCGCTGAACTTCACTGTTGTGCTGGGAGTGATCACACACTCCTGGTCATCTTCCATACTCGAGTCCTGGTTACTGGGACCCTCCAGCATGGGAAACGTCCTGCCACGGGGCTGAAACACACACACACGTTATGAGCATGCATGCACTCGAACAGCACTAGGGACTCTTCAAACCTAAATAAAAATGTCAAAATCTGTATTTAAAAAAAAAAAAAACCTATTACTGCAAAACTCACTCGACTGTAAACACTTTTCCAAAGTCCTACTTTATTTCCGACATTCCCATAGCTTAACACTCTGAAAATGATATAAGGGATAGTGAAGTAGTCTATGATTCAGAAATAGAAAAATCTGCTTTAAAACTCATGTTCTTTGAAATCATTATTTGTATTCATGCATTAAAGGAGTAGTTCACTTTAAAAAAAGAAAAAAACTTTTGCTGATAATTTACTCACCCCCATGTCATCCAAGATGTCCATGTCTTTCTTTCTTCAGTCGAAAAGAAATTAAGGTTTTTGATCAAAACATTCCAGGATTTTCTCCATATAATGGACTTCAATGGGAACCAAACGGTTCAAGGTCCAAAAGACAGTGTCAGTGCAAACTGTTCAAAGGGCTTTAAACGATTCCAGACGATGAATAAGGGTCTTATCAAGCGAAACGATCGCTCATTTAATAAATAAATAACAAAGTTTAAGTTTTATAAGCTCAAATGCTCGCCTTGCTCTGTTTTGTGATGAGCGTTAGGAGAAAAATCAGGAGACAGGAGAAAAATCCTGGAACGTTTCCATCAAAAACCTTAATTTCTTTTCGACTGAAGAAAGAAAGACATGGACATCTTGGATGACATGGGGGTGAGTAAATTATCAGCAAAAGTTTTTCTAAAAGTGAACTACACCTTTAACAAAAAAAATCTCATACTCATCATATATATAAAAAAAAAAATCAAGCAATTGTCTTGTGGTCTTTGTAGTCAGATCAGTAGTTTTAACTTGTAACTGATATTTTTCACTTTATGCACAAACATAATTTATGAAAATTGATTAACAAATTAAAACACCCATCATATTAAAAAAAAAAAAATCAAGTAATTGAAATGGCATTTTATAATTGCATTATAAATTATTTAATAAATAAAAGACAGAAATAAGAGTCACTAATGTTGACTTGTTTTTAGAAATCAAAGTTGTCAACTTCATTGAAGACAAAAAAATGTATTTCATCTATCTATCTATCTATCTATCTATCTATCTATCTATCTATCTATCTATCTATCTATCTATCTATCTATCTATCTATCTATATATATATATATATATATACATACTGTATATATATATATATATATAAAATCAATGTAAGCATGATAAGTACTATAAGTGTATGAGGAAACTCATATTTGAGGTTTTTAAAGCTACTCACCACAACAGTAACTCCATCATGCACCAGTGAGGGGGACGCGTACAGACCAGTGGAGTGTTTCCCCACATACAACGTGGACCTGTCAGAACACAAACACAGCTCATTATTCAGGGCTTCATCTCCAAAGGTACATACTCTGCCTGTAAATAGCTTACCAAAGAACTGCTAAGTGTTATACAGTGGCTAATCTTTATTTATCCAGGCAATAACAGTACATACTGAAAGTCTTTAGGATGACGACAACACTCCCAGAGAGAGATCTATATAACAAAGAGTGAAGTTTGAGCTTACTCCAGTTACTGTAATATGCACTATATGGACAGAAGTACGCACCTCTAAAACTGAAGAGTGTACCTTAAATGTTGTTTATATGTCTATGTGGTGTTTTTAATATGCTTTAAGACAAACCATGTGTAAATTCACAAGTCGAGTATTTCCTCCTTAAAGGGATACTCCACTTTTTTTGGAAATAGGCTCATTTTACCACTCCCCCAGAGTTAAACTGTTGGGTTTTACCGTTTTCGAATCCGTTCAGCCGATTTTTTTATATTTAGAAGAATATCAGTAACCAGACAGTTTCTGGTCTCATTGACTTCCATAGTATATTTTTTCCTACTATGGAAGTCTTAAAATCTTATGAACAACACATTTGTGATTTGTGTATTACTACGTCATACTACGATTTCCAGAACCAGTTCTTCCCCACACTTCTTGAAAGACAGACAGGATGTGGCTTAGATGTGACTTGGAGATGCGACAAGTCAAATCATGTCAGCTCAGCAAGAGCCAAATTAGAGTAAAACGTGGCTTTGGCAAGTAAACGTGAAAGAAAATCAAGAGGTTGCATGAGCAACACTGTTGATGAGGTTAAAGCTATTTGGTCCCACTTTATACTAAGTGGCTCTAAGTACTATGTACTAACATCGAAAACTAAGTACAATGTAGTTATTGTGTGGATGTTTTACTGCTATTGAGGTGTGATACGGGACAGGTGTGTGTGGTGCGGGTCAGTATAAGGGTGCACAGCAAAATCCCCAGTGTTAAATTAATGGATGGGAGCCATGAATGAGTTTTGATTGGTGGCACCCAGAATGCAATCCAAAATGCTTTATAATTGTCACCATTGTTGAGATTCATGGGCCAATTATTGATGTCTGTGTGTCTTAAAAAACTGAAGAGAAGTAAAATTGCATAAGAGAAAGTTAAGAAATTATTTTTAATACATTGTATGCTGTGCAACGTCACTGCTGCTATAATTAATATAGTAAACATAACTCAGAAATGAGTCTCTATATGAGTTTAGTGATTCAGGCCAAATGATTGTGAAATAATGATTATGTTAAAACACAACCATCACCATCAGATCACCTTTTCTATTTGTTCATCTGGCTGTTATAACTCATGTACAGCAGCCAAACAAAATCTAAAGTTAATGAATTAAGGGTCAAGAGCCCGACTAAAGCCAACACTGATCACCATAATGGTGACTTAAAAATTTTGGTTTTCTCCTTTAGTGGTTCTGCTTGTTATCATCAGGTGTCTTCAAACATGTCTTTTCAGTGTTAATTTAACACTGGGGATTTTGCTGTGTGGGTTGAGGTGTAACAGATAATTTACAAATGTAATTACAAATGTTTTTTTAAAATATAAGTACAATGTAAAAACATGTATGTACACAATAGGTCTATTGTATCAAATTATTAATTTCAATGTAAGTACATAGTACTTAAAATAAAGGGTCCCACTTTATATAAGTGGCTTTAAGGTGTCGTTGTTACAGTGTAATTACATATTTAAGTACTGAGTAATATTAACTAATAATAGGGTTAGGTTGAGGGTTAGTTGCATTTAAATATGCATAATTTACTGGTATTGGTAAATGCATGTTACATATGTAACAAGGACACTGTAAAATAAAGGTTTACTGGTTAAAAATATTTAAGGTGTCATTGTTAGAGTGTAATTATATAGTACTGAGTATTATTAAGCAACTACATGTACTTACTATAGGGTTAGGGTAGGATTCGGGTTTGGTTGAGGGTTAACTGCATGTAATTATGCATAATTTACTCTTATTACTACGTTAAGCGCATGTAACATATATAACAAGGACACTTAAAGTGTTACCAAATATTTTTGTGGAAATGAAGATAAAGAGAGCTATAAAAACAGTCCTTGGTCTTATCTTACAGGAGTTTATCTTTGGTTTTCTTCTCGCGGGGGAACGGGTACGTCCACTGGGTAATGCGGCCCACCTCTCCTGACATGAACGTGAGGTAGCGCAGGGTTTCGACGGCCACGTTGGTGTGTGTGACCTTGCGAAGGCCCTCGCGCTGCCAGATGTAGATGGCCACCACAGGAGAGTTATAGTTCTGAACCCACTGCACGTCCCCGGACTCGCTGTCCACCGTCACCACCAGCCCGTCCCCGTTGGACACGAAGTGGGCCATACCTGGAGGAACACAGGAAAAAACACTGTTGTGTGGAAGAGATCTGGACGGGTTTGCGAACTCGCCACTGACGGATGCTCACTGTATTTGGTGTCGTCGTCTGGAAGGGTGTAGGCGTAGTCGGAGTACGTGGCGTTCCAGCGAAGCTCTCGGCTCTTGGTGTCGTACATCGTGATGGTGTATTCTGAGGAACAAGATAGACAATGAAAATCTTTGATATTCACATCATATTTGACTCTTTTGCATTTCAAACTCCAGTACAAGTGTGTCAGTATTCTGCAATGTTACGGTAATTAATAAGCATGAAGCGTTAATACTTTTAAATAACATATTAGCACACAGTAGCTAATGTCCATCAACAGGTTCAGAACGCTCTTGCTTATGGGATGTTTAACACACGATTTAACTAAATATTGCGATGGACTGGAATCAAATATTATAAAGAGCCATGTAATAAATGTCTCTTAGTTTATTTAATTATTGTGCATAAAGCAAACACTGATCACCATAATGGTGACTTAAAAATGTTGGTTTTCTCCTTTAGTGATTCTGCTTGTTAACATCAGGTGTCTTCAAACATCTTTTCAGTGTTAATTTAACACTGGGGATTTTGCTGTGTGGGTTGAGGTGTAACAGTGTAATTACAATTTTTTAAAAAAAATATAAGTACAATGTAAAAACATGTATGTACACAATAGGTCTATTGTATCAAATTATTAATTTCAATGTAAGTAACATAGTAATTAAAGCCACTTATATTAATACTTTTAAATAACATATTAGCACACAGTCCATCAACAGGTTCAGAACGCTCTTGCTTATGGGATGTTTAACACACGATTTAACTAAATATCGCGATGGACTGGAATCACATATTATAGAGAGCCATGTAATAAATGTCTCTTAGTTTATTTAATTATTGTGCATAAAAACAAAAAAACAAAACAAATTTTTTTCATTTAATATAAGTTGTAAATAAAGATACATTTTATAAGCCTTCACATTTCAGACATTCGACTCCAAAAGGAAGGTATTTGTCCAACAAAATGAGTTAAGAATTTTACAATCAATTTCAAAGCGTTTGTGATTTTTTCCCCCTATGTGTTATGTGTTTAGAGGTTATGATCATATCCTTTATGTAATTTACTGTTAAAACTATGGTGAGTTCATGTAACAGAAGTAAGAAGGACAGTGTGTCCATTCTGTTTATATGTACCCCACATTTTGCAATCTGATTCACATATTCGTTTACATGTGCATTACATGAACAAATAAAAGTCATCTTTCAATTTAGTCATGATTTAAAAATGATTATTACTCCTCTATTCATAACAGACTTCAACTAAATCAGTAAATATTCTGAAACATGAATGAAATGCAGTAATTTGCATATATAGCAGTCTGTAAATCATTACATATTTGTGGACTGATTCAAATGTTTATATAGTTTCTTACAGCATCCTTAGTAATGTTTGTTTATCTTTCAAATCAATTCAACACCATGATAAAACATGACAAAAACAGTTATTATCTGAAAAATGTATACCTTCACAGATCAGTATTAGGGGTGTAACAGGGGTGTATACCGCAATACAAAAATGCAACAATATGTATCATGGATAGTTCACCCAAAGTTTAAGAGATTTGGTGTCAGGACTACTATATTTAATGTTGAATATAATATAATAATGCAATATTTGTGGGTCCTAATAATGCCATATGTTACCAGTGTAAAGTGTCCTACATAATTTTAAATATATCTAGTCAGTGAAAGAGTGTAAGCATATTCATCTAAATTAATCCTGTTTTCAGCTTCAGAATCATGAATATGTTTATTCTGGTGTCTCTATTGTCCTGTGCTTTGGGTTTCATTTACACAAGTCTGTTCATTTACACACACAATATAACACCAGATTTTGGCTTTTAATCAACAGTACATATTAACCCCATGGAGTATCACAATGATATCATATTGTGAGTTCAGTATCGTGATATTTACCATTACAGATCACGATTTAAACGTTGAATCGTTACATGAGGCTATCGTTACACCGTAGGGCTGGACTGAATACCATTTTTTGAGCTTCGAAGCTTCGGTAGCAACGGACATTGAATATTCGAAGCTTCGGTAGCAACGGACATTGAATATTCGAAGCTTCGCTAGTAACGCACATTGAATATTCGAAGCTTCGGCAGTAAGGAACATCGAATATTTGAAGCTTCGGCAGTAACGGACATCGAAAATTTGAAGCTTCGGTAGTAACGGACATCGAATATCCGAAGCTTCGGTAGTAAGGGACATCGAATATTCGAAGCTTCGGTAGTAACGGTGTAGAGATTCTGGGTCGGACATCATTAACCAGTTTGCATGCAATTACTCAGAGCGTGGTTGGCAGAGACCCTTTTAACACATTCCTACGCATATGTGTTTTAATTCAACTTTGACTTTTACTGCAGTCAGGCGCCCGAGTGTCTGGGGTTACCTGACTAAGTGTGATTTAGGACGAACACGGAGACATCACGGGGCAACATCCCCCGCCAATAACGCCAGTTAAACTGATCGCGATCAGATTAACTCTCTCTCCTCTTTGATCCTTTGACACCTCCAAAAGCGAGGGAACTCTGGATACAAGCCAGACTTCGTTTGTTCTATCGCAATATACGTGCGACCCGCTGACCCACACCTACGTGCAACACACACACACACACACACACACATTAACGCGTCCGCACGCTGAACATTCCTGCACGCACACAAACACGGACATCTCTGAAAGCTTGTAAAAGAGTTACCAAAATTATCTAGTATGCCGAAATACATGTAAAAGAACTGTAATTCACTATTTCAGCTTCGAATGGACTCACGCGTGTCAAAGAAGTTTAGATAACTGTAATACAATGCTTTAAACATGTAATTCAATAATGCTGTCAAAATAGTTCAATGTGTTTGATGTCTTTGTAATCCTCATAGCATGATCTGTCTTTTAAACTGTATATCGATATTGTGAAATGTATACCATTATGTATAAGTTTGTTTTCAAAGTTAGCAGAACTTTTCCTTTGTCTTAAGAACCAAGATTAACCACGTGATATGTTAATCAAGTGGGCGCGCGCTCCTTCAGTTGTGTGACGCTCATTGGCCATCCGAAGGTTAGGAGGGGTCCCAAAACACCCTTGAAAAACTCTCGCCACGGAATCTTATGCCTCTTAAGTTCTTAACTCTTAACCTCTTAGCTCTCTTACCTGATTGCTCTTGTTCTTACTCTTAAGCTTAGACTCTTGAACTCTTTCCGGAATTCCTTGGACACTCTCGGCGTCTTCTGAAGCTTTTTAAAGTTATCAGTTTTCGTTATTTTTACTTCGTTTACTTTTGCGAATAGCCAGTTAAAGTTCGTACGTGTGTCCTCTCCAACAAGAAGACACCATCCAGCACGAACTCGTTTTGAACTCCCGCGACGCACACCCACGTGGGGAGAACAAAGGAACCTGTCTCCAGCCTCACGGACAACCGCACGCTTCCAGCATACAAAGGTCTGAATAGCAATTTGTTCCATCAAATTTGAAACTCAAGATATAATCCTGTGGTTGTCTCTGAAGGTTTAAAGCTGTGCTAGTAACTGTACTTCTCTTTGTATTCCCATTTTCCCTTGTTTCCCTTTTTAGTTTCACTTTCATTTTGTGTACATACATATATCGTGTGATTTTTGTAGTGTAACTTAGTCGTGTGCTTTTTATTAAACTCATTTATACATTCTTTGCCATTGTTTGTATTAATCACATAACAAAGCCTCTTTAATATTAGATCCTAACGCTACAAGCTGATTTTGTTGAGTGCACAAAACATTGTCAGAATATTAAGCTAAACAGATCAAGTGATTAATAGTTTTACAGATCCGCACGCTGGCGCGCTGACTGAGAAAACTGTAATCCTTGTTGTTATAAAGAACAGCCCCGATCTGTGGAAAATATATGTTCCAAATTAATCATAATTCGTTGTGTTTAATTTCGTCATATATACCTGAAGCAGACGTGTGTTGTGACACACCCCTCGTTGGGTGATTTAATTTATGTGAGAAACTCGGTTTAACGAATATTCTATAAGTTGCTGATCCAGATCATTGATTTTGGAATATTCTTCCCCTGAATTCAAATTGAGCTATAAATTTAAGCCGAGATTCTTTACAACGGACATCGAATATTCGAAGATTCGGTAGTAACGGACATCGAATATTCGAAGCTTCGGTAGTAACGGACATCGAATATTCGAAGCTTCGGTAGTAACGGACATCGAATATTCGAAGCTTCGGTAGTAACGGACATCGAATATTCGAAGCTTCGGTAGTAACGGACATCGAATATTCGAAGCTTCGGTAGTAAGGAACATCGAATATTCGAAGCTTCGGTAGTAAGGAACATCGAATATTCGAAGCTTCGGTAGTAAGGAACATCGAATGTTTAAAGCTTCGGTAGTAACGGACATCGAATGTTTGAAGCTTCGGTAGTAACGGACATCGAATATTCGAAGCTTCAGTAGTAAGGAACATCGAATATTCGAAGCTTAGGTAGTAACGGACTTTGAATATTCGAAGCTTCGGTAGTAAGGAACATCGAATATTCGAAGCTTCGGTAGTAAGGAACATCGAATATTCGAAGCTTAGGTAGTAACGGACTTTGAATATTCGAAGCTTCGGTAGTAAGGAACATCGAATATTCGAAGCTTCGGTAGTAAGGAACATCGAATATTCGAAGCTTCGGTAGTAAGGAACATCGAATATTCGAAGCTTCGGTAGTAACGAACATCAAATATTCGAAGCTTCGGTAGTAACGGACATAGAATATTCGAAGCTTCGGTAGTAACGGACATCGAATATTCGAAGCTTCGGTAGTAAGGAACATCGAATATTCGAAGCTTCGGTAGTAAGGAACATTGAATATTCGAAGCTTCGGTAGTAAGGAACATTGAATATTCGAAGCTTTGGTAGTAAGGAACATCGAATATTCGAAGCTTCGGTAGTAAGGAACATCGAATCTTCGTTAGTAATGAACATAGAATCTCTATATATCTGTTTGTCCATTTGCATTGTGATTATTTCAAGAACCGTTCATCCAAACGACTTCACAAGGAAGTGCACTGTCGTATTTGGCGAAATATAGATAGACAGGCGAGACGCGACACGTTCAGAATTAATACACTTTTAATAAACTATAGAACAGTGCGAGCGGGAAGCGGCCCCGCCAGCAGAGCTTATGCTCTGAGAACGGACACTGCAAAACACACACACACACACATCTGTTAACTTTACCAATATTTTAATAAGGTAGTCTAACATTTTTCTCACTAACAAATTACTGACAAAGTAGGGGAGATTTAAATAAAGAAGCGACACGCCTCACGTGAGCAGGATTATATATGCTCCGAGGACACTGCACTGATGATATAACACACACACACACACACACACACACAGGTCTAACTTAAGCAATATTGTTAATAAGGTATAGTCTTCTCACTGAAAAAGTAGGGTAGATTTAAATAAATAAAAAACGAAATTTAAATAAATAAAAATGAAATTTAAATGAATAAAAACAAAATTTAAATTAATACAAACAAAATTTAAATAAACAAAACAAAAACGAAATTTAAATAAATAGAACATAAAAACAAAATTTAAAGAAATAAAACATAAAAACGAAATTTAAATTAATAAAAACTATAATAATAATAAAAAAACTAATAACTTAAATATAGAAAAACAAAATTTAAATAAAGAAAAACTGAATTGTGACGTGACGTCCCAGTAAAATCTCAAAGCCTCGCAGGTTGTAGGATGTCAGGTTGTAGACTCATTTAGGTTGATAATAATGGGTAAAATGGATAATAAATTTTGTTTTGTTTTTTCTATTTTCCACAATGTCAAACAACGCAGCTTAACCCAAAACACAAGCACAGGCACGCACTTCTGTCCACACACACTCCGCTGTTCTGTGCTCTAGCCAGAGAAAACTCCCGTTGCAGGAACCCTTTTAGTAGTCCAAGAAGAAGCAAATATATTTATTAAGTAGCTATAACGAAGTTATACTTATACATTAAGTATTATATTTCACCAGATTTTAGTGTAAAACATTCAAGCGCGAATGAGAACTGTTTCGAGTGGGATGCCAGGTGTGAAAAAAAACCCCCGAATATTCGAATGTCACATTTTCGAATCGAATACCAACCCACCGAACAAATATTTGAATATTCGGGTCCAGCCCTATACACCGCTAGTCAGTGTTGCAGCATTGGTCATTTCAATTGGAAGTGTTTTTGTTCATCCTGCTAATGAAGACTTACAAACAGAGCGGATCTGAATCTGAAACTGAGGACGAGGTCTCACCTGTGCGTCCGAGGTACAGCAGAGATGAAGATGGACAGAACATCTCAGCATAGGAGGAGGTCAGCGTTTGCTGCTTCTCACCGGTCAACAGATCCACCACATACCACACGTCCTGCTTCTTACCTACACACACACACATCTCATGATCAAACCTTCACATACTTCATACAGTTATTAAAGTCTCAAATGTGCAGCGTCTGTCATTCAACCAGACCATATCCCGTTTGCAAAAAAACTAAAAACTCATCTTTGATAATCAAAATCAAACCTTGTAGAAATTTGCATAATTTAAGCAAAATGATTTTGCAATATGGTTCGTCACGGTAATTAATATGCATGAAGCGTTAATAATTCTAGATAACATATTGGCAAAAAAGAGTCTCTCTCCTGCTCTCAAAACGCACAAATTGTGTGTAAAACTCATCTTTGATAATCAAAATGACATTATTATGTTTTCCCCCTGTAAAAAATTATTTCTTAAAACATCTTGAATGTAATTCGACACCCTTGCCTCTTGCAGTATGCGTGGTTCTATGAATATGCAAATGAGCCCCGCCTCCACTCACTCAGCTCATAATACCACATTACACACAGTATTGTCTTTCTATCACACTAGCCTCATGCTAACATGTACATCACACGCTTTGACAATGTTTATTCCAGTGCATGTCACAGATCCTCCAAAAGGGGAAACTTCATAATTTAGCACCAATGAACACAAAAACAAGAACAAAACCCACTAACACACAAGAACTACTGAATAAAATGAAAAGATCATTTACATATTCAGTGCATGGTTTTCCCATGTGCTCGTTCTTTCCCCCCATTTTATCATCTTAAAGATCAAAAGTCCAAAGATAACTGATGCAGCATGGGTAAATGTTCTGGTCAGGATGTGTAAACACACATCAACACGTCAGATCAAACACACCACATGTTTACCTCTGCGAAGAAGTGTGGTTTGAGTCAAACAGGGCTATTTCCTGTGATATTCAACATGCGAGACGACTTGTGTTTGAAGTGTAATTAGGAGAGATTAACAGGTAACGGGATTAAGAGATGATTTAACAGTCTGATTTAATCACTGTTTGCCTGTCTTTCTGTGCGTCGTTATAGATGTGCCTTGTGATTACGCACTCTTGATGGTTTAGGAAGGGTGGCACAGACACACATCTATTTGTGGTGTTTGCGGTGAGATTTTGAAACAATCCCACAGTGCCCACCCACAGTTAGGAGAGGCCAGTTCCTCAAACCAATCATGATCATGTCGAATCAACGCTTAAATTTCCGTAGTCGATCATTTAATCGCTTAAGACTCATCTTTGATCACCGAAATGACACATAAAATATTTTATCCTTGTAAAAAATACCATAAAAGGAGTAGATTACTTTAAAAAAAAAATTTGCTGATAATTTACTCACCCCCATCTCATCCAAGACGTCCATGACTTTCTTTCTTCAGTCGAAAAGAAATTAAGGTTTTTGATGAAAGCATTCCAGGATTTTTCTCCATATAATGGACTTCAATGGGAACCAAACAGTTCAATGTCCAAATGAGAGTTCCAGTGCAAACTGTTCAAAGGGCTTTAAACGATTCCAGACGATGAATAAGGGTTTTATCAAGCGAAACGATCGCTCATTTAAAAAATAAATAACAAAGTTTACGTTTTATAAGCTCAAATGCTGTTCTGCGATGCACGTTCGTGACTCTTCTGTTCGAACTCGTTTATCAAAATGAACAAATCTTTTTTCGAGTCATGACTTGAAGGGTCCTAGATAAGACCCTTATTCATCATCTGGTGTCGTTTAAAGCCCGTTGAAGCTGCACTGAAACTCTCATTTGGACCTTGAACCGTTTGGTTCCCATTGAAGTCCATTATATGGAGAAAATCCTAGAAAGTTTTCATCAAAAACTTTAATTTCTTTTCGACTGAAGAAAGAAAGACATGGACATCTTGGATGACATGGGGGTGAGTAAATTATCAGCAAAAGTTTTTTAAAAGTGAACTACTCATTTAATATCTAGTGATTAATATCTCTAGTCCTTACTACAAGCTATAGTAATAATTGACTTGGCAAATACCAGTGACAAACCAAACTGAATAAGAGTAACAGAAGCAGTCTCTCACCCATGTATAAGATGCCATCAGAACTGCGGCAGGGCGATGCCTGGACCAGCTCAGGAATGGTGAACGGCAGTTTCTGCAACACACACACACACACACACACACACACACATTACATATAAATGTGCATGTGTTAATCCATCCAGCAACTTTTAGCAGTCTAATCATTTAGTGTGGGTGCTACTGACCTCAGAGGTTTCCCTTTTAAAATGATATTGCTCATTTCTAAAACTATAAATATCACCATTAGCTTCCAGAGAAAGAGGAAGTCCTTCATGAGAAACGGAAAGAAGTTTTGTGTCTCACCGTCAGACCCTCGTTGTTCTTCCCTCCGAGAGAGTACAGACTGCCGTCGTTGGGGTCTGGGAGAAACGCAGGCCTGTGAAACAACACACACTTTTCAGATCATAAAAAAAATGAAAAAAAATCCTGTTCATCTACTAGTTATAATGCATGAACAAATGATTTGTATGACTGATGTTATTGATGATACACTCTCTATAGGGATGCACCGATAATACAATTTTGGCCGTTACCGATAACCGATAATCTTGAAAGCCAATAACCGATAAACTTTATATTTGAAAGCCAATAACCGAAAATCTTTATATTTGAAAGCTGATAACCGATGTATTGGCCGATAAATCTAAACAAAGTTTTTGAGAGACTGATTACAAGAACAAAAGTCTAACCATTAAAATCCACGACCCAAACACACAATTATAGTGATGCTCCCATTATTATTGTATGTAGCCGATATTACATGTAATTGTATTTTCCTTTCAATCACATTTCAAGCAATTTAAAACCATCATGTTGAACAGTGTCTCAGTAATCTATTATACATCATCTTTAATAGATCCACATTTTTTTATCGGGCCGATAATGATAACATTTAAAAATCAACGTATATCGGCCGATACCGATATATCGGGCATCTCTAATTCTGTAAATGAAAAAAACCTGTATCTGCATCTACAAGTTATAATGCATGAACAAATGATTTGTATGACTGATGTTATTGATGATACACTCTCTATAGGGATGCACCGATAATACAATTTTGGCCATTACCGATAACCGATAATCTTTATATTTGAAAGCTGATAACTGATATATTGGCCGATAAATCCAAATAAAGTTTTTGAGAGCCTGATTACAAGAACAAAAGTCTAACCATTAAAATCCACAACCCAAACACACAATTATAGTGATGCTTCCATTATTATTGTATGTAGCCGATATTACAGATATGATGAACTTTACTGTATTTTCCTTTCAATCATATTTCAAGCAATTCAAAACTATCATGTTGAACAGTGACTGAGTAATCCATTATTTATCATCTTTAATAGATCAAAAAAACATTTTATCGGGCCGATAATGATAACATTGAAAATCAACGTATATCGGCCGATACCGATATATCGGGCATCCCTAATTCTGTAAGTGAAAAAAAACCTGTATCTTCTGCATCCACAAGTTATAATGCATGATAAAAGGATTTGTATGACTGATGTTATTGATGATACATTCTATAGGGATGCACTGATAATACAATTTTGGCCGTTACCGATAACCGATAATCTTTATATTTGAAAGCTGATAACGGATATATTGGCCGATAAATCCAAATAAAGTTTTTGAGAGTCTGATTACAAGAACAAAAGTCTAACCATTAAAATCCACGACCCAATCACACAATTATAGTGATGCTCTCATTATTATTGTATGTAGCCGATATTACAGATATGTTGAACTTTACTGTATTTTCCTTTCAATCATATTTCAAGCAATTCAAAACCATCATGTTGAACAGTGTCTGAGTAATCCATTATTTATCATCTTTAATAGATCAAAAAAAAAATTTATCGGGCCGATAATGATAACATTGAAAATCAACGTATATCGGCCGATACCGATATATCGGGCATCCCTAATTCTGTAAATGAAAAAAACCTGTATCTGCATCCATAAGTTATAATGCATGAACAAATGATTTGTATGACTGATGTTATTGATGATACATTCTCTATAGGGATGCACCGATAATAGAATTTTAGCCGTTACCGATAATCTTTATATTTGAAAGCTGATAACGGATATATTGGCCGACAAATCCAAATAAAGTTTTTAAGAGCCTGATTACAAGTACAAAAGTCTAACCATTAAACTTTACTGTATTTTCCTTTCAATCATATTTCAAGCAATTCAAAACTATCATGTTGAACAGTGACTGAGTAATCCATTATTTATCATCTTTAATAGATCAAAAAAACATTTTATCGGGCCGATAATGATAACATTGAAAATCAACGTATATCGGCCGATACCGATATATCGGGCATCCCTAATTCTGTAAGTGAAAAAAAAACCTGTATCTTCTGCATCCACAAGTTATAATGCATGATAAAAGGATTTGTATGACTGATGTTATTGATGATACATTCTATAGGGATGCACTGATAATACAATTTTGGCCGTTACCGATAACCGATAATCTTTATATTTGAAAGCTGATAACGGATATATTGGCCGATAAATCCAAATAAAGTTTTTGAGAGTCTGATTACAAGAACAAAAGTCTAACCATTAAAATCCACGACCCAATCACACAATTATAGTGATGCTCTCATTATTATTGTATGTAGCCGATATTACAGATATGTTGAACTTTACTGTATTTTCCTTTCAATCATATTTCAAGCAATTCAAAACCATCATGTTGAACAGTGTCTGAGTAATCCATTATTTATCATCTTTAATAGATCAAAAAAAAAATTTATCGGGCCGATAATGATAACATTGAAAATCAACGTATATCGGCCGATACCGATATATCGGGCATCCCTAATTCTGTAAATGAAAAAAACCTGTATCTGCATCCATAAGTTATAATGCATGAACAAATGATTTGTATGACTGATGTTATTGATGATACATTCTCTATAGGGATGCACCGATAATAGAATTTTAGCCGTTACCGATAATCTTTATATTTGAAAGCTGATAACGGATATATTGGCCGACAAATCCAAATAAAGTTTTTAAGAGCCTGATTACAAGTACAAAAGTCTAACCATTAAAATCCACGACCCAAACACACAATTATAGTAATGCTCTCATTATTATTGTATGTAGCCGATATTACAGATATGTAATTCCATTTTCCTTTCAATCATATTTCAAGCAATTCAACACCATCATGTTGAACAATGTCTGAGTAATCCATTATTTATCTACTTTAATAAATCCAATTTTTTTATTGGGCCGATAATGATAACATTAAAAATCAACCGATACCGATATATCGGGCATCCCTAATTCTGTATAAAGCTAATTTTAGTGACAGACTAAATTTGGCCACTATAAACAGACAAGAACTGTGTAAAAATATAGGTTTGCAGCATTATAATGATGGACTTGAGCTTGTCATGTGTGTTTTTGAGTGTTTTTTGAGTGCATTGAGTGTTTTCATCATGAGCTTCAGTGAGATGTTATCATGGAGAGGAAGAGTCGTGCTCAGCATTTTGCACAGTTCCTGTCGTTTGACTTTCCACATGCACAACCGCTCAGGTATAAACGAAAGAAAGCTTACTCTGACACGTGCGTCGGGACTTGCAAAACAGGATCTGCATTGGGAATGAGAGACACATTTCAGTTAAGCGTTATACACTCTATCAAAGGCAAATGAAGCGATGAGCAAACATGAAGACAAAAGCAAACTGGGCGTCAAATACATTCACATAAATGAATCCATTAGCACTTTCTGCTCCCAGTGTCTACTCTATTATATAAGACCTTCATGTGTTTACAAACTCAATTTTATTATTACATATTTTAGAAAGTCCTCAAACCCATCAAATAACACAAATGGATAATTTACAAGGCTCCGGATTCAGAAAAAAAAACTCTCCAATATTAAAATGTAATTTATGAAACAGACGAAACAGTAAAAATACAATAAAACTCCTGGATGCTGATTGGTCAGTGCCGATTTATAATCCTAACATAGTGACCTTTAGTAGGAATGTATGATTCCTGTGTGTTGGCTATAGTGTAGGTTACACCTTATTTTAAGGTGTCATTGTTGCAGTGTAATTATATATTTAAGTGCTGAGTAATGTTCAAGGAGTAGTTCACTTTAAAAAAAAACCTTTGCTGATAATTTACTCACTCCCATGTCATCCAAGATGTCCACGTCTTTCTTTCTTCAGTCGAAAAGAAATTAAGGTTTTTGATGAAAACATTCCAGGATTTTTCTCCATATAATGGACTTCAATGGGAACCAAACGGTTCAAGGTCCAAAAGACAGTTTCGGTGCAAACTACAAACTATTCAAAGGGCTTTAAATGATTCCAGACAATGAATAAGGGTCTTTCGTGTCATTTGGATTCATTCAACGAACAAAACGAACGGAAATTGACTCGGAAAAAGAAAAAGAGTTCAAACAGGAGAGTCACGAACATGCATCACAGAACAGAGCAAGGCGAGCATTTGAGCTTATAAAACTTAAGCTTTATTATTTATTTATTAAATGAGCGATCGTTTCGCTTGATAAGACCCTTATTCATCGTCTGGAATCGTTTAAAGCCCTTTGAACAGTTTGCACTGAAACTGTCGTTTGGACCTTGAACCGTTTGGTTCCCATTGAAGTCCATTATATGGAGAAAAATCCTGGAATGTTTTCCTCAAAAACCTTAATTTCTTTTCGACTGAAGAAAGAAAGACATGGACATCTTGGATGACATGGGGTGAGTAAACTATCAGCAAAAGTTTTTTTTAAAAAGTGAACTACTACATGTAGGGTTAGGGTAGGATTAGGGTTTGGTTGAGGGTTAGTTGCATGTAATTATGCATAATATACTGTTATTACTACAGTAAGTGCATGTAACACATGTAACAAGGACACTGTAAAATAAAGCGTTACCAAATTGTATAGCACTCGTGTGAGAGCCGGACCACATCAGGTCCGATGGCACACTATGGGTGTGTGTGTATAGAGCAACGGCCTCTAACACATGTCCTGCAGCTCCAGCGTGTTGGACTGGCTCAGCCTGAGCATCAGGTTTCTGAGAGACAGCCGGAGGATTGAAATGCAGTGAATATTGAACAGTGGAGAAAGTGATGGAAGATTCCACTCCACGACATTAAACCTTCATGAGCCGTTTCAGAGAGAGCTCAGGGGAAATGAGCCGGACAGACGTGCCTGGCCTTGATGATGACACACAGTTTGTGCTTGAACAATATTATTGCGCAAGGAAACCTGCTATCATTCCAGCTGCATGCTGGGACAAACCAGAACACACTGTCATAAATGCAGTAAAAACAATTGCTTAATGTTTTTAATATTTCCACTCGACAAATTTAACAAATCAAATAGCAAGTCAAAGTGAAGATGGCAGCTTAAGTTTGTTAAATTCTCATTGGATGGTAAGTGTGAACAAACATCACCTGAGCTCTATGTTATTGCACTACTTTGTTTTAAAGAATTTAGTTTTAATGGTGTATATAAATGGAAAAGTGAATTTCTTAGTTGTTTAAACACCTTGCTTTCACTAAATGGCTCTGTAATGTGACGCAATACTTTTTGAAGTACAAATATTACATTTAGTCTTTAAATTAACGTGAGGTTTTATATTAAAGAACTTGGAAGCGTTGTGTAAAATAGTTGTGTGTTAATAAAGTGTTAGTTTGCCTAAAAATGAAATTCTTTTAATATTTAATTTCAAGTATTCTGAATAGAAACGATTCATGATGAACAAAAATACACTTTGATCAGAACACACACATAGACCTTTACATGTGGTAAAACACACACGTTCAACCATTCTTTACATGCAAAGACAAAACCTAACTGGTTTTTGTGGAAGCTCAGGGGTGTTTGTGTAAACCTCACTTATTTACTGAGCTCTATGTGTGTGTGACTGTCTATATACTGTATATATTTGATCAAAAGCGATCGTGTCCCTTCACAATACTTGGATTAAACTGCTCGATTCATATGGATTACTTTTACAATGTGACAGTTTTGTTTGCGTGACAACTTTCAATGGAGAGACAGAAATCCCTCAGGTTTTGAACTAACCATGTGACCCGCAGCTTATGACCAATCAATGCGTTTGGACGCTGAAAACCTTTGATTTGACCTTCCATAATACTTTAATTATAAACTACAAGTACAACATTTTAAAATCACAGAATGAATCATAAGCCGTTTTCCAGTGGGAAAGCGCCTATAGTTCATTTATTTGATTTATATAATATATGATATATAAGGTCTGTTCATATAAAAGGTCTGTTCAGCTGATAGTTTACTAACCCCCATGTCATCCAAGATGTCCATGTCTTTCTTTCTTCAGTTGAAAAGAAATTAAGGTTTTTGATGAAAACATTCCAGGATTTTCTCCATATAATGGACTTCAGTGGCAACCAAACGGTTCAAGGTCCAAAAGACAGTTTCAGTGCAAACTGTTCAAAGGGCTTTAAACGATTCCAGATGATAAATAAGGGTCTCATCAAGCGAAACGATCGCTCATTTAATAAAAAATAACAAAGTTTAAGTTTTATAATCTCATATGCTTACTTTGCTCTGTTCTATGATGCGCGTTCGTGACTCTCCTGTTTGAACTCGTTTATCAAAATGAATGAATCTTTTTTCGAGTCATGACTCGGAGGGTCCAAGATAAGACCCTTATTCATCGTCTGGAATCGTTTAAAGCCCTTTGATCAGTTTACACTGAAACTATCTTTTGGACCTTGAACCGTTTGGTTCCCAATGAAGTCCATTATATGGAGAAAAGAAAGACGTGGACATCTTGGATGACACGAGGGTGAGTAAATTATCTGCAAAAGTTTTTTTTTTTTTAAAGTGAACTACTCCTTTAATTACGCCAGAGGACATATCTTGGCCTTAGCTTGAATATTGTGCAATATTCCAACATTATTGTGCAGGCCTTCAAGTCAAAAGCGTTGAGAAACAATGATAACATTTCCACTTCCACTAATTTCACTGTGATCTGAACTCATGATCGATCCGCGTTTAAAGCGGCTGTGTGTAACTTTTCACTCAACTAAAGCATAAAATACCATATGTTTGCATATATTGAGGAAACATGCTAAGTTCACATCCTGGTCTCTCTGAAAAACAGCCAGTTATTTCACTGTGATCAATGTGTGTTACTGTGATATTGTCCACTGCGCTCGTGTTCCTGTTGCGTGAGAAATGACGATCTGTAATATTTTGACTTTATTGATATTAATCTTACACATTACACCTATAAAACAGACAGGTCACTCTGATTACGTGTACCTTCTTTCAGGGTCCATTTGATGCTTCCCGATCTCTTGCTGACGGCGTGAAGGTTCCCGTCCAGCGTGGACACGAAGAGCAGACTCTCGGGCACAGACACCGTGCTGCTGATGCAGGAGCCCTGCACACACACACACACGATCATCATCACTTTTCTTATTCTTTACAACTTTCTTAAAGACAGTAGTGGCCAGAAGTGATGTCTGGCCTAAGGAGATCGACATCTATATTATAATAATAGACTATTATAATATTTTTCCACAAATAAAAAGCATGAAAAAAGCAGGAATCTGGTGAATCTGTGTAGACTGGGAATCACAGTTTCTCATATTTCACCAATTATAAAGTGAATACGACATGAATATGAGATGCAACTGGCTATAGTGAAAAATGTTTAATAAATCAGTATCACGACTATTATCGGCTGATGCTGATCATTAAAAACATCTGCCTTGGCAACATATTGATCGACCACCCGCCTCAAACCTAAAATACACATGATCTGGTGGAAAACTTACTGAACATCGGACTGATCAGAGATTTAAAATGATCAAACTACTATGAAAACTCATGACATTTACACTGTAGTTTTTGTATTGTGATTTACTGCGATGTGAAGAACTGGCAGTAGGGCTGGATTATGATGAATCATTCATTCACACCATTAAAAACATAATATTCATTCAAATTGATTAAACATTTTTAAATAGACTTCAGCAATTAACATTTTGTCAAAACCTGTATTAAATTACATGTTATTTTTAGGGGATGCACTAGCCTATATATCTGCCACCATATCAGCATCGGCCGATAAGATGATAATTTTTAATGTTATCGGCCCGATAAGATGATAATTATTAATGTTATCGGCCCGATAAGAACATTTGTCCGATATATTAAAGCCGATAAATAATGTAGGCTATTATTTCCATCAGCTGAGCACTGTTCAACATGATGGATTTGAATTGCTTGAAATATGATTGAAAAAAATAGGGAAAATTAAAGCTGCAAGCAGCATTTAGCGGGGTTCAAGCAGTTTAGGCCTTGAAGGCCTTTAAGCACAAAAGCATCAAAAGACATTAAGTGTTATGTAGAAAGCATGATTTACCATGATATACCATATTTAGAGTCAAGTATATCTCCATCTTTGTTCAAAGTAAAAAAAAATGATCATACTTTATGATGCTAGTTTAAATTTAAAAAGAAAAAAAATTAAAAGGAAATTTCTTTGGCATTTCTTTCTTTTTGTTGTATCTAAAATGAACTGAACCATGACACCAATGTATCGCACACAAAATTGTATACACTGAACTGTGAATTTTGTGGACTGTTGCACCCTACCGTTTCTTTTGGGATGAATGATTCAACAATGATTCAATTTCCGCAATTTATGAAGAAAAATAAAAACTTTCAAACCCAATACTGGAATACAAATGGATTCTGATTCTGAATCCAATACAAATGGAATCCAATATTGGATTTGACTCAAAACACAATGCTTCACAATTCCTCCCAATAATCCACCTTGACTTTCAGGAGTAGATGGAAAATATTGGAAATGGAAAACACCATTCACAGCCAATACAGGCAATTTACCATTGGAAATGCATGGTTTTAAAGATTTTTAACAGTTATAGCGCCACCTATGGTTCGATCTCCATGAAACTGTGCATGCTTCTTCAGCATGTTATGTCACATACGCTCATCAATTTTTGTGAAGTTTGAGTTTTTATTTTTATTTATAGGCTTTTGAATGAGTGCATAAAGACAAAAAATATAAGAATAAGAATGTAGCCTACTGATGAAAGATTGTGTCTGCTTTGTTTTATAAGAAATATTTCTGTGTCAAGAATTCCAAATTTCCTGTACTCTCAAATTTTGTATAGTAGTGCTACTCATGTTTTAACACCAGACATGCATAAAAGAGATGTTTCCTGTTTCAAAATCCACTACAAAACATTGGACTGTAATGTATAGAAGAATGAAACTATGGAAGGATTTACCATTGATATTACACATTTTCTAATTAGGAAAATTACTTTAAAGGTGAAACTATTTTAAAGGTGACATCTGTCAAAAAAAATCAAATCATACTCCATATTCCATACCAGATGGGCGCAGTATACCTCCAGAAAGTGAGTTGTGTAGCGGCCGCGCTCATGTGCACTCTCACGTCTTCAAACAACACAGGTGAGCGCTGTTTTGCTCCCTCTACCTAGTGCATATTAATCAAATCATTTGACACGATAGTAAAAGGTTGGAAGGCCGCAGTTTCACGTGTAGCATTTGGAGATTTTTAGAGATTAGAGACTCAATGAACAACATCTCAGCACTAAATTATAAAGTCCGTCTCATAGACGCCTGTATCAAATACAAGCCGGTGCATTCCGACGATATGGGAAAATAAAAAGCCCAGACTATTATTTGTAGTTTAATGGTATTTTTTTTTTCATATTACATTTCTATTGTTAGTTTGAATTAATTTGACAGAGAGCATTCACTAAGGTTGACCAAGCTAGCGCCATTTAGAGCTGCCAACTCTCATGAATTCTGCGCGAGACACGCAATTGACACTTTTCAGTGAAAAGTTTTCACACGCTCTCAGGCCACACATCAATTTGGTCATGCACAGAAAAGGACACAGAGAATGACAGACAAGATGGAGCAGGTTAGTTATGATATTTAAAAAATCTCAGCTCTCAGATTTTGTTAATTTTATTATGCAATTCAAACAATAAATACACTTTTGGTGCTTGTAAATGTTACACGACAGAGTGCACGTGAAACGATCATCTCTACTAGCTAATGGTAAAAGAACTCGAAAACTGTTGAAAGAAACAGTATGTTACAACTTGCCAGAATGTATTCCTTATGCATAATATCGACCAATAATTTTTTGAACTCTTCCCAGAACTGAAATAGTGGGCTGTTTCCACATGATTGACATCAGGTTCACGTAGATGTAGACCCACAAGCCATGCGAGTTATTCGTGTATTGCAGTTTGACTGATGGTTATGTTGCCCACCCGCATACTGCCTCCCATGGCTGAAACTGGTATTATGACACCTGCCGGGCTGCGGCTAGTAATTTAGCATGCTGAAATAAATTCAAGGTTAATATCTCGGCAGCACTATAACTTGTTATTTTTTTAATGACATCATCAACCTTATTTCTTCTCATTCTTTTGATGCGTGTAGCTCATTTTTGCGATATTTTAATTTCAATTTTTACAGATGGCACCTTTAATAACACTATATATGGTAAATTGTTGTTTTTGATATTTGGAATAAATGTTAGGTTCATTGACCTAACTTTTTATTGGTTTTGATTAAACATAGTATTTGTATTTGATTGTTGGGACCCCAGGAAGAGAAGGCTAATGAGGATCCAAATAAACAAATAAAATCAGAACATAGGAAAGAACATCTACAGCCAATACCAACAATTTACTTAGGAAAATATATTTTTGCCTTTTTTTGACAGTAACAGAATCTTGTCTTGCCTGATCTACACTACTTTTTTTAGTAGTCCTCAAAGTGTGCCCATATATATGTAAAATGTGTTGTAAATATCTCATTTCGTTATGAAGTTTAGAAACTTATTTACATTTGGGCATTATGTCAATTACTAAAGCCTGTTTTCAAATTGCCTATTTTTTTTTTGTCTTGATCAAACTAACACCTTTGAAGATAACAACATTTATTCATTTATTTTTTTCAAAGCTCTAAATGTCACCGTTACAAAAACTATAAGGCCAAACCTGGCATGTTTGGTATCATTGGACTCGTCAAGGATTCAGGAGTGTGAAGAGGGCACTCCCATGAAAAAAAAAACGCAGGGTTGAAAATTCTCAGGCTCCTTCAGGGCATTGTGCCGATGACCTATACTGAGTTTTTTGAGATACACCAATGTTCTCATAGACTATAAAGGTACCCTGGACAAACAGACTGCATGCCAATTTTTATTTGACTAGTGGTTGGTTGCGGTAATGGCCATTTTCATGACTTTTTTCCCTGTTATAGCGCCACCAAGTGGCCAATCATCGCGATTTTTTTCATGTGACCTCAGAATGAGCTCAGGAAAAGGTGTCCCAAGTTTAGCAAAAATATCTCATTCCAGTCACAAGTTATAACCATTTTAGTAAAAGTGGCTCTCGTGCCATCAAACATTTTGGTTCCCCTTAGCAACCGATAATTGAATTTGTGAAATTTTTTAATGATTATAGACAGTGAGACTCCAGAGAACATTTCTGCAGTGGTTTGGTTCAGATTGGGCCAAAAACCTAGAAATAGTTCTCAAAAGTTTGTTTTTCAAAAAAACGCAATTTACTCCAAATTGGGCGAGCCAATCCGAGGCATGCATCTTGTCCGGCTGGAGCCAAGGATTCCAACGATGTAAGACACTTGAGCCTACGCCCGACGGTTGAGGAGTTATGAGCCATTTCGTACTTTTGCCCGCTGTAGCGCCCCCGTCAGGCCGATCGGGGCGCGCCTTTGTGACGCTGTCGGCGGATATGAGTACTACCAGCCCACAAAGTTTCAGGTCTCTAGGACTTACGGTTCGTCCTGCACGATCAGTTTTACATGGAGAATGTTGCATTATGGGTAAATTAACAATAACAATAGGGTTTCAGCACTTCGTGCTTGAACCCCTAATTAGGCTAGTTAAGTCTGTAATATCGGCTACACGAAATTATAATGAGAACGTCATAATAATACGTGTTTGGGACATGTATTGAGATAATCAGGTTAAAATTTTATGAAAATCTGGCTTTATATTTATCTGCAAATATATTGGTTATCGGCTTTCAAATATAAAGAATTATCGGTTATCGGCCAACATTTTTCATATCAGCGCATCCCTATATACGAGTATTATTGTTGTATTTTTATTTTCTGCGATGTGAAAAACTGGCAGTAGGGCAGGGCTGGGTTACGAATCTTTCTAGCACATTTTCTTTCTTCTTTTTTTTTAATAATAACTCAAATAGACTTCAGCAATTAACATTTTGTCAGAACCTGTAGTAAATTACATGTTATTTTTAGGGGATGCACAATATATCTGCCACCATATTGGTATCGGCCGATAATATGATCATTTTTAATGTTATCGGCCCAATAAGAACATTTGTCCAATATATTAACGCTGATAAATATCGTATTATTTCCTTCAGCTGAGACTCTTCAGATGTGCACTGTTCAACATGATGGATTTGAATTGCTTGAAATATGATTGAAATAACTTCAAAAAAGGAAAATATAGGCTAGTTAAGTCTTTAATATCGGTAACACAAAATTATAATGAGAACATCATAATATTACGTGTTTGGGACATGTATTTTAAATGGTGAGACTTTTGGTTTTATAATCAGGTTAAAATTTTATGAAAATCTGGATTTAGATTTATCGGCAAATATATCGGTTATTGGCTTTCAAATATAAAGAATTATCGGTTATCGGCGCATCCCTATATTGAGTATTATTGTTGTATTTTTATTTTCTGCGATGTGAAAAACTGGCAGTAGGGCTGGGTTATGAATCTTTCATGCACATTTTTTGGTTGTTTTTTTTTAATAATAACTCAAATTAACTTCAGCAATTAACATTTTGTCAGAACCTGTAGTAAATTACATGTTATTTAGTTTGTTCAAATCTCTATTTGAAAAAAAAAGTGATTCTCAATTTATCTAATTTGAGCTGAAATTTATGAAATGTTTACATTTTTTATCAGTTCATGAATCAAATCCATGACCTTCGACAATATCGTTCCCCTTTTCGTTTTAGAAGTGTAACTTGAATCCAAAAGTTGCTTCAAACAACACCCAGTATTGGTACATTTAAAAACAATGTTTTGAACGAGGAGAGAAATGCAGAGATCCCTTAAAGCCTGAAAGCTAAACCTGACCTCTACACAGACAACAAACACACAACCCGTTCGCCTAGAGAAACTAGTCTGACTCTAGTGTGGGTTACATTAAACAAAGACACTTCGTAATACACACACTCTACTGGACCACGTGCTGATAGATAGTGTGTTTTAGTGTCTTGAATGTGACGGTTAGCGAGTGCAAACATTGCACAGCTGTGAGATCTCTCACGACCTCGATGGACCCGATCACCATCGAAACACACTCTTGGTTTCAGGAGAGAACAGAAAACATCTGCTGAAACACACACACACACACAATCATCATCATCACACTGCAAACGTTCCTCAGAATTACTTAGCATGACCTGAAAACAAACACCTCAGCGGGACACGTGCTTTAATCCTCAGAGTCGTCTTCTCTTTATAATCTAGGCTATTTCATCAATACATTTGGTAAATAATGTTGGGGATTAGGTCATCAGGTTAGGCTCCGCCCACAAAACACATCATCCTCCTTATCATCATCATCACTGCTGGCAAACACCCACATGGTCTATAGATCTGGTCACAACTAAAATGTGTGAAAACAACACAAGTCAAACCTAAAAGGCTAGCAGAGCACACTCGTTCATGTCATGAACATTAAAACGAAGGAGTCATATCAGGTTTTCACAGCAGTGATGATGAAGGAGGCTTTAGAAAACATGTGACTATCTTAGTCTTCCACATCCTCATTCTCCACGGCACAGCAGAAAAGGGAAATATCAGACACTATTTTAATAGAGATCGCAGCATGTGCATTTATTAAAGATTACGGACACACAGCCCTGCTAATCAAGGCTCAACCATATCAGTGTCGGCCGATATATGTGTTCATTTCTAATGTGATCGTTCTCGGCTAAATAAGAAAATTTGTCTGATATATTTTAGCCGAGACACTTCAGATGCCCACGGAATTGCTTGAAATATGATCGAAATCACTTCAAAGAGGGAAAATACAGTAAAGTGCAACATGTGCGTGTATCATATCGGCTACATAAAATAAAGAGAGCATTATAATTGTGAGAATTTTGTTTTTGTAATAAGGTTCTCAAAAAATATATCAAAATATGGATTTAGGTTTATCGGCCAATATATCGGTTATCAGCTTTTATCGGTTATCGGTATAAACATTCATATCGGTGCATCCATGATAAAAATAATAGTCATTGCAGATTATTTGATGCATAAAATGTACAACATGCATTTATTTTATCAGCACAACGGCTCTATTGTAGAATTGCTCTGGTAATTTAGTTATTAGTTATGTCCTCTCCAATTAATTATTCTCATTTCTGCACAATTAGTGAATGTAAACTTATGTTTATGCACATTTCTTTAGCTTTCAACCGGCACAGTTTAAGAGGATATTTGGGGAAAGACGTTAAAATGCAGACGTTTTTTTTTATCAGATAATCAACATTATTTGATAGCTGAGAGTTCTAATAGACGACATTTCTTTCTAGAGAGCAAAACAGACACACAAAAGAGTGATAATTAATACTGAATATGTGTTGAACGTCAATAACACGCTACGACTGTGACGAGAAGAGATGAACATCTATCCTTCATGAGTCACACACACTTCCTATGAGCTACAAGTCCACACACACACATGATCGGAGTAACTTCAGGAGAATTAAACTAGACGTTATGCTGAAAATAACATGGACGAAATCAATAGACTTAAAGTCTTTACTGTATAAAGGTCCAAAAACCACATGTGTCATTTTCATAACTCAAATTTGTTTCATGGTCTGTTAAAAATCATATGAAGCATTTTAATAAATAGGCTAACGGGATATGTGAGCATACGGATAGTTGTATGTAATGTACATGTTGCTCACAGGCACAATGGTGAACGCAAACTCGAGCCGGCTGGGGACTGAGTCTGCAAAACTCTCATTGTAATTGTTTGGATACTTTATTCATAACTCGCACATCATAATAGCTGTTACAAATCTCATTTTGTGTATGTATCTAGACATTAATGTGCATACATCCTTTTTCTGTCTTTTTCTTCACTGCCAGTCTGTGACCAAACTTCTGTAAATTTACAGTGATGTTTAGTACAGATCGACCGATATTGATTTATTTATGACCGATACAATCATGTTTATGTGCCCGATAATCGATATCTCATCTGTGCATTAGTGGCTGTTATGGCAAATAAAGTTCATTAATTAATAAAGGCAAGTTATTTTACCTTTTGAACACTGCTGTGTTTTAACAGTGGTCTTGCGCGCAATTCTGAAAACGCCTTTTATCGGTGAATCCGAAATCACAAAACCAATAACCGATGATGGGAAATGCTCAAGTATCGGTAAAACCGATAATCGGTTGATTTTTAGGTAAGTTAAAAAAAAGTGTGTTGTGGAAAAGCTTATATAGGCTCAGGTCCTGTTCGTGACACCATAGACAAACGCACTCTTATCCATTGATAAAAAACAATATTATAATACAGTTAAGAAAAGTACAGCGGAAGATAGGAAGGATCCAGGATAGGAAAACTCGTGTCCTACAGGACAATGAAGACAACTCTCTCTCTAGACACTACTGATCAGATCTACTCTATCATATTAAGCTATATATCAGATCACAGCATACATTACTTTAGCGTATCAGAAATATATTCATGTCCATAATAAAAGCATATCAAACAGCAGGCAGACAAAGACCAGCCTTATAACTGTTCAATGACACCCAAACTGATAAGCAGAAGAGCAGACAGGGTCACAGGTCAGATCAGCAGTGTTTGGACTCAAGACTCCACTCCAGTAATAATGACTGATCAGAGATCAGTGAAACAGTGATGTTTACACACTCACCATCAGACTCCAGCACACGAGCGCGGATATAATCCACACCAGAGCCCTGCTACACACTCCCCACGCCATCATACACACATGCACAGTTCAGGGCTGATATCGGCTCGGTTTACGATAGTTCACTGTGCCATTGTAATATTACAACTGAACAGACGGGTTCAATGCGTTTATCAGCTCGCTTCCTCTTACTGCTCCTGCGCATGCGCACAACGCGCGGGGGGCGGGGCTGCGACAATATGTCACTTCCCCTTGGACCGGAAACGAGGAGTCATATTTGTACTTTTTTGTTGTTGTTAGCGTATATTAAAAATATAAATTACATAAGAGTGAATTAAACAAGTTATATTAATAATAATAAACGGTGGTAGTAAAATATGAACTGTAATGTTTGTTGTTGTTGTTTTTTTTGCAAAGAATCTCTCTTTGTGAAGAATTATCATTTTTTAATAATGCATTTTTTTATTATTAATTATCTACTTGACCTCGACTGGTCTTTTTTTAGATTGACTTTCCATGAATACCGTGGTCCCCCAAAACAGCTATTATTCTGTTTTTCTTACTTGTCCTAATTCTCATCAGTAACTACAATACACTTTACTTATTTGACTGAACAGCTAACAACAACCTGCGGTACACTGGGTTTTTTTGTTTTAATGGATGTCGACGGAAGAGAGGCTTCAGAATGATAATTAAACTGTTTTTGCGGCGAAATTCTGCCATTGTTGATGGGAGAAACGAATCCTTGCAAAGCTTCGAATCATTGAATCGACTCACTGTTTCGAAAAGATCGAAGCGCGACACTCTGGCGACCACTGCTGGCCAAACAGTGCAAATGCAGTAAGCGCACACCTTTTACAAATCCATTGAAAATGTTTTATTGAAGGTATAATATATCAAATGTAATTGCCCAATCATCTAATTCTTATCAAATTTCTTAAACGTGTCTTATTTGCAGATGACACTGATATTGTTTCGTGCTGGTGAGGATTTGCAGCAGCTTCTGGATTTAATCATATCTGAAATGAGCAGGTTAAAAAGAGGGTTTGACAGTACTAAATGATCATTCAATTTGAGTAAAACAAATATCATGCTGTTTGGAAATAAGTAAGTTTGTGTGAGTCTAAATTCAATATTCTAGTTGTTCGCACTATAAAAAGTCAGCACATTTAAATGTGTTCATTGACGTATACAGGCCTAGAGTATAAAATAAATGTGATAAATATAAATAAGATATGTGGTAAATGAAATAATATAATAATAATTTACTAAGTTATGGAAATGGGGTGAGATAAGGATATAATGAAATAAGTATTTTCAGACATTTTGCCAAATGTTACTTATTGCTATCTGAAAGTTTTGCTTATTCAACTTATTGGTAAAGTTTTTTTTTCTGATGTTTTGTTATGTTTATTTTAATGTCTGAAATAAAATGTCCTCATTGATATGTGTTCTTTTATCAATTTTAAGGGTTTATTTTGTTTGTTCCATGGATGGCTCAGCTAAACAGGCCAATGAGTGACTATTACTTCTTTTATACTAATGTATAATTAAAATGTCTACAAATGTATAAAACTGACCAGAGATCAGGCCAAACCATGGTCATACCCACAGTATTCATGTGTTAGGAGATCATCGCCCTGTTTCGCCCTCAAGCGGCGAACCATTGAAATAACGTATTTTACTGAGATCACGTGACTTTGGTAGTTTGATTCGCGATTCGAACCGCTGATTCGTCACATTGCTTTGCTTTGAAGGCGCCCAAAACTACTTACAATTTAATGTTTCGACATTGATTTAATCATCAACACGTTGCCAATAAACATTTTGGAAGTATATATTATTGGAGTTTCGACCATTTTCAGACAGATACAGGTACATTTTACTGCCCGTCTCATATAGTGTCCTCAAACAGTGGCGTTTTTGTTTTTAAATCGGAAACAAGCCAGGATATACAATATTTATAATCCATAATTACGAATGGAAAAAAATACAATATACACAGTGTTAAATTAAAGAGCTTTACTGGTTAAACGCGGAATGTGATTGGTTATGAAGGAACACGTGATCCGTCGACCGTTACGCCTTAGCCAATGATTGAGGTTGGCATCTCCGTCCACATATGATGAGCATTACACCTCTGATTACACGCACAGAGAGCGGGAGAGGAGAGTCATCCGACCACTCTGTGTGGTTTCTGCTGGATCTGAAATGCTGAGCTAAATGTTTAGATTCTAGGAAGTATTTTATCCTTATTTTCTTCCGTATTTATGAAAACTGCAGAGAAATATAAACTCGACAGTGATAAAACTAGTTTATCATGGATTCCGATAAACAAATGAGCTCGTGTGTCGACAAATCCAGGTGGGTAAGTTAAACTACCAAATACGAGCCTTTCAAACTAATCATCAAATGCTTTTCTTTATTGATGTGAGTTAGTTTGATGCCGAGAAGTAAGACGAAGCACGTGTTTGTGCGACTGGCCTGAACACGTGTTTGCAGCATGGCTGATATACATTCATACATATGGAAATTACCTTTATTTAATCAAGATTTAGTCGTGTTTGTCTATATAATTTTACTGTAACTCATTACTGATGACTTGTTTTGTCCCCGTACAGGATTGTTTGCAGTTGCAGTGGAGCCAGGGATTTTCGGTAAGGCCAGGCCTGAGTTCACTGAAAGAGTTTTCAGTTGTAAGTCCTGGGATGATGATTATGCGTTAGACTACTGATCAACATTGATGTAGAACTCAAATAACTGACCAGACTGATGGGTTTTAGCTCGAGAATGGTCTTCAAACTGGGGTTGATGTTAATGCTGTCTTTTACTTCTAAAACAGGGTGAGACGGTGAATTGGAGAAGCTGAGGTTTGTATATCCCACATCTCTGTTTAATTCTAGATAAATCTGAGTTAAATAACTTAATTTCCATTTGTATTTGGGATATGTATAACTTTTAAAGTTATCAATTCTGTATGTGTTTGAGTGTGCATAATAAAACAAAATGGATGTCGTTGCCTTGCTTGCGTGTGCTTTTTTTTCCTGTTGAGATTTCTTTCTATTTGTACAGCGCACTGTATCTGAACTCGTGGAGCCCCTTCATGGCTCATCGGGTCAAGCAACGGTGCAACAGTAAACGCTTCTTATAACTGGAGTGTCTTGGTTTCCCCCCCAAGTTGCTCTTTTAAAAGCAAGCAACACAATGCTAAATTAGTTATGTGAAGACTGTTTTTGTTTTCAGCTTATAAATTAGAAACATTATCCCTACACAGGATATGTTTCTGTTATACAGAAGATTTTGCAGTAAACAAGTTCATATAATGAGTGGATGCATGACATGTAAACTCAGCCTTTTTTCAGTAACACTTCATGTGATTGACAGCATATCTTATTGATTTAGGCTAGTAGTGCAAGCATGTTTATTACACAAGGTATACTAAAGTATGAACTAAATTTGTTTTTTGTTTTTTTTGTTCATTTAGACCCCATGTTTTACTATTTCTGAAAATGTAAATTCATACAGCACAACTTTGGTAATTGAGGTGAAAAAAGCTTGTACTCTGTTATTAAAGTGTATAAGGATAAGTTAATAATAACTTTATAGTTAATAAGCTATTATAATAAACATATAGAGTAATCCAGCTAGTTAATGAACATTTTTGTTGATTAGGTTTTGCACAAATGAAAATATTGGTGTTTTAGAGCATTCAAAGCTATGTATTGGTTAGCTATTGAAAGGTTAACCATTTTCTTAAAAAGCTAAGCTTTTAAACGTGGTCCAAATCACGTACAATCATGCCGTCCCAGGCACACAAACTGGGAAAAACTTATTTTCATTATATTCATGGAAAATAGTAGCTAAGTCTTTATTAAAACTAGCCAAAGCTTGTCATTTCCCTCACTTGATGATGTCACACCAATGAGGGCATCACATTTTGATCATGTGATCTTACAAGTTGAGTGATAAGTGTGAAGAGAAACCCTGTATAGCTGTCCCAATTGACATCATGTCCCAACATCACCCTTAATTCCCCCTACATTTAATAAAAATGATACTGGAAACAGGAATTATTTTTGCAAAAGCCTTTTATCAATTTCCACACAACAATCATGTCGTCAATATGGCCGAACACAATATTAACATAAAATATTGTGCAAAGGAATAAGCGATTGGCAGAGCGCACACACAAGATCAATTGTGAATGGCAATATTGTAACACAAAATGTCATTCAAAGTAAACGCATTGAAATCAAAGTACATGTAGGATTGATTATTTGGACTTTAGTCCAAAACAGATGTGGAAAAACCACAATTTACGTTCCTTGGCGCCGGCTAAGATACAGACCTTGTCATGTTTGTTGGATATAAAACACTTTTTCTCAGACCTCTCAATACATGTGAAGCATCTGATAATGGATGAATGTCAAAATTCATTCAAGATATTTTATTTGGCAAATCACTTGCCACTGATAATCCAACAGAAACGACCTACCTGATTTAATACACCATATGACCTGCAAACGCAGTGTAAAGAAAAAACCTGACAATGAACAACACAGATATTAACACTTGATAAAATATGCCAAACAAGGTGGACAAAAACGCTTTGTACATTCAACAATCTTCTCCACAGGTACACGACATACGAGTTCATCGGTGTTGGAAATAGAATAGCACTTATTTGTAGCCCACCACATAAAACACTGTGGTCAACGCAAAAACATCCTCGTTTCAAGTGAATAATGACCATAATCATGTCTTCTCCACGGTTCCATGGCGAGAGCGCGTCACGCAACCAGTCGAATTAGCATCTGCTAAATAAAGCCATTCAGTCTTGGGACTTTCCCGTGGGGTTTATGAATAAAGGTGTTTGTTTATGGGTTGTACTCTTTACCTAGCGACAAGTAAAAACGTTATGTTTAGCACAGATCTCATTTTATTCATACAATCCCCAAAACACTATTCTAAAAGCCAATAGGAAAATTCCCAAGGGATAGCCATGGTGAATTAGCCTTCCAACATTGACCTACTGATCTTTTTGGGTTGTGAAGGGAATTTGCACCAAAATGCACTTTTTAGATGACAAACTAAAAGTATACAATGATATGGGTGGCATTTATGAGCCGGCTATCCTAACTATGCACATTAGCATTGTTAGCACGTTTGTTCCCCTCGTTTGAGACCCAATGCCTGGCAGATGGAAAGCTATGAACCCACTAGAATAGGCTGTTTGAGTCGGGATCGCTAAGGACTGAGGGGTTATTGGCTGGTGTCCCTCTTGAGCACAGTGAAATTGATCTAATTGCATAATCGGACGCCACACAGAGGGCTCAGGCAGCGGTGGACAGAAGAGAAAAATGGTGTACTTGTAGGTCTACTGAGTCTAAACAATTATTTGCTGCTTAGAAGCGTATGACAATCATGAGAAAATCATAAATGGCTTTTAGGTTTGGTTACGCGTCACGTCTTCAAATATCGAACCCTCAAATGTGGTGTGCCGTCGTACTAAAAAAACTCCTGTGAAATTGTGGATCAAACCTGCTGACCAGGCCTTAGGGCTATTACAGGATGAGAGATTAGGTTGTGCCATGCGACCCCGGGACGTTTGGTAAGTCAGCGTGCATCAAACAGAGGTAGAGTACACTTTACCCAGACCTTCAATGTCCCTTCACAATTCACCAAAACCTCTTTAATCCTGCTCTCGAGGGCCAACAGCATGTGCATTCGGGACTGTCCCAATCAAATCAGAAGCAAGCAAGCAAGCAATTTTGTCCTTTCTTGTAGTTATGGATGTGTTGGTATTTTTCACAGCTGTGTTCAATGGGCAATATGGCACCTGTAATTTCCAAGTCAGGTATAGTCATGCCCTCATGGGACTTGAGTGTTTCTCTTCTGCTTAACACAGAAGCACATCTTCACATGTCGTCAAGGGATTCCTCGGGGTCCGCGGTGTCCTCGTCCTTCAAGGCGTTGGCATCGGACCGCGTGTCCATGGCAGAGTGCATGATAGGCAGCCAGACGTCATCCATGTTTGGCATTACAAAGATTTTCTGCGGAAGGTAAGAGGGCATGTGGGTAAGAGCTTAACACTAGAACACCTCAAATTAAAGTGTATCTGAAGGTACGTGCATGTATTTGGCTGGTAACTATGGGTTTTCAGCTCTTAATTGCAGAGGGGAACCACTAATAGAAAGGTGCAGGTATGACATCACTTTGCAGGCCAATACGAGTTAGCATTTTAGCACTTCCGGTCCCAAAGTCAATGGGTTTTTTGAGTTAAATGGCTGAACACAAGCTATTCAACAACATATACATCAGTATTACCCACACGTGAAGCTGTTACCTGTCTTGAAGAAGGCGGTTGCTAGCTAACAAGTGGACTCAGTCCGCTTTTGCAGCATCGTTATGCTTAGAATAATCTTATGAATTATTGATTTCAGAGCTTGTTTTTAGCGATGATCCAGAAGCCTAAGGGAGATGTTTTTGTGGTTCCCAAACTGCCGGTTGGCCTATAAAGTAACGCCATACATGCACCAATAATGCCACGGTGTCGTCCACTGTCCTGTATAGCTTCAGCCGGGATCAAACTGGACCTCAAGAACCAAAGGTCGAGGACACCTTTGAGAAGACCAACCGATTTACCTGAAACTCCTGATCTAGTTTCTTCTCTATCCAGTCTGTCACATGAGCAAAAGTAACCTCTCTCTCGCCCAGCTTAGGCCGAGCTTTCAGTTCCAGACGAGGAGGCTTTCTGAAACCATACCTGACAGAAACAAACACACACATCAGCACACATCCTTCACTCTCAACACATTATTTCCCATAACCTGCATTTCTTCATTGCATTGCGCTGGTTTACTGGCCAAAAATGTAAATAATGGTCACCAATCACCAAAACTGTAAGACTTTCCTTCATCTTGGGAACTGAATGAAGACGAGATATTTCTGTCCATCCATTGACAGACTAAGCAACTACCACTTTGACGCTTCAGAAAGAGATCGTAAAACGAATCCATATGAAGCGCTTGATTTAATCAAGGCTTTTATTCACATTTAAACATTGATCAGCCGACATAAACAGAAGCTTGACGCCGAAGCTCAAACGTGTAAACAAAAGTCTTTGGTTCTCATGCTTGAGCTTCTGTTTATCATAACAATGTGTGAGTTGATTATATTTGAATAAAAGCCCAAGAAAATTTGGACTAAACCTCTCTATTCATATGGTTTAGTTTTACGACGTCTATATGAACTATCTGAAGCGTCGAAGTGGTAGTTGCGTAGTCTGTCAATGAAGGGGCAGTTCAATGAAAACATTTGTGTTTGGAAGATGAATGAAAGTCTAACGGGTTTGGAACGACATCAGGGTGAGATAATTAAATGACAGATTTTTCCTTTTTGGGTGAACTAACTAACCCTTTAACTATCAGAAATAGATCATAATGGCACATTGTATTTGAGTAAAACATAATTCCTTATTTGTGATTGTTGGCAAAGTTTTTACTCTTTGGACAGGTTTCGTGAGCTTCATCCATGGCATCAACATTCATTTTAAACCCAATCTTGAGATATGTTGCCATGTGTCCTGAGTTATGACCAGCAGATGGCATGAGAACAACATTATCATGGCTGGATTAGAAAACACAGATGTGTTGCCACGCTGCCTTATCAGGAAATTGAAGGCATCTTGCGAAACTGCGGTAGCGTAACTTCTGACGCAGCGCAACGGTTTAATGATCTACAGCACAGAAGAGCTTTAGTGAGAACTAAGCTAATATTTAATTACTACAACAGTCATGTCTTGCTAGAAATGACATCAGAAGTGGAAAATATTAGTCAAAAAAGTACATTTACACACAAACCGATGACCAACCATAACTTTCAGACGCCATCTTTATTTTTAGCTTAACGGTCACAGAATGGAAAGCACAGGATTGTGGGATATCAAAAGATACATACAGGGTTTGAAAGTAACACACGCAGAGTGTCGAGTAACACAATTCGGCGTGTTTGCACAGATTTGTCTCACACGAAGTCCTCATGATATATTAAACACAGTGTATCGCACAGAATCTGCTCATATCTGCTTACTTCAACACACACCTCACTACGCAACGACTTTTTTTTGGCTAGTGGCCGGTAGCCTAGCCAAATTGGCTGGTTAGTGAAAAGGTTCATTTCAACCCCTGGACACATCGACGCCACCTTGAAAGATAGATCAGATGAAGGTTTCTCAGTAGGCCGGAACTGAAACTAACACTGGATTCGAATGTGCCTTGAAAAGTGTCCTCGAGTTGCTAAGCTTTTGGACACAGCTAATATCACCCTTTAATTCTGCAGGGTTTGTACGAGCTGCTTAAAATGCTTGAATTTGACCTGGAAAACAGACATCTTTATGAAAATGTACTTAAATTAGTAAAACACCATATATGATTTTATTGATAAAATAATCTTTTCGCACAATTTCTACTGCAGCCCGTCTGATATAGCCTAGATATAGAGCCGTTTGGCATGGCTGTGAGCGTGATATTGCTCATAAATATGTATAAAATAAGTATATTACAGCTTTCATTCTTAAAGTGCTTGAAAAGTCCTGGAACTTTGTCTTACAGTCTCTGATCCTGTGCATATATGCATGTGTATAGGGTATGAATGAATGCGGTTTACCAGATGCGGTCAGTCGGAGGCGGTGGGATGTTGACAGCTAGTGTTCCCTGGCACTCCTGGACCTCCACCGTCAGCACCAGCGGGGTGTTGGACACCTCCTCCATCTTCTTCTTGATGAACTCAGTCTCTGTGGCTTTCTGGAAATACTTGGACTTGGCAATCTTGTCCACAAAGCGCATTATTTTGCTGGATCGGTGTCCGCCAACATAACTGTGAAGAGAAGAGTTAATCATCAAGGGTTTTCTACAGGTGTGTGGCCATCTTTTAATGCTCTTGGGTATTATGGTAAATTGTTGAAATACTTTAAAAGAGTCATTTAAAAAACTGCTTTGTTGACTCAAGCCAAAGATGGGCGAATGTTTACATGGTGTCAATCGGACTGAATTCATTCAGGTTGATGAATCTGAACGTAGTGTTTACATGAACGCTAAACGTGATTGGGTCGATGTGTGTGTTTGGCACAAGCTTCAAATCGGGAAGAGTAACAGAAGAGTAACATTTAGTTTTATGTGAAAATCACTCTGTGAACGGTCGCCATTTTGACCCACTGTTAAACACAGAAAGAAATAACCTCACCCTTCCACTCCTGTAATCTCAGGCACTTCGGCAGCATCTTCCTCGTCAGAGGATCCTGCACTCGATGACTCTTCATCACTGTCGGCCAAGAAGTAAGCCCGTGGTCTGGGTCTAGTGCATCACACAGACAGACAACAGTTTATGCGCCATGTTTCCATCATAACTGGCTTTCTGCAGTAGCACCTCATTGCAGTACACGCGATCCAGGGGGCGGAGTCGGATCCAGAACTGAGGGGTGGAGTTGGGTAGGCTTAGGGATCAGGGGTGGAGATGGGTAGGTTTAGGGGTCAGGGGGTGGAGCTGGGTAGGTTTAGGGGTGGGTTTAGGGATCAGGGGTAGAGCTGGGTAAGTTTAGGGATCGGGTGGAGCTGAGTAGGTTTAGGGATCGGGGGTGGAGCTGGGTAGGTTTGGGGTGGGTTTAAGGATCGGGGGTGGAGCTGGGTAGGTTTAGGGATCAGGGGGTGGAGCTGGGTAGGTTTAGGGGTGGGTTTAGGGATCAGGGGTAGAGCTGGGTAAGTTTAGGGATCGGGTGGAGCTGAGTAGGTTTAGGGATCGGGGGTGGAGCTGGGTAGGTTTGGGGTGGGTTTAAGGATCGGGGGTGGAGCTGGGTAGGTTTAGGGATCGGGGTGGAGCTGGGTAGGTTTAGGGATCAGGGGGTGGAGCTGGGTAGGCTTAAGGGTGGGTTTAGGGATCAGGGGTGGAACTGGGTAGGTTTAAAGTCCCCGTAAACTGGAAGTTGCAAACGACTTTTCTCCAGTGTTGTGACGTATTTCGGAGAGAAACGGAATACTAAATGAGGCAAAATAGTGGGCGTGGCTTTTTTTCTAACTAGCACCTGATTGAATCTAGAAAAAGGGGTGTGTCATTCTGAAATGAAGGATGACGCAAGTTTACACACGCTGTCAATCAATGCTCGCTCGGCGCTCGCAAACACACAGCAGCTGTCAGTTGGAGGGGCGTGGTTATGGATGTTAAGGAGACACCCAAACCGTAAAGCCTACGTCATCGGGCAAGGTCCTCCAATGCAGAGGGGAGGGGCATTTTCAAACTTTGATTAAAGATTACGAAGCCAAAAAATTTTTTTTGTGTGGATTGACTTAGGGTTAGGGTAGGTTTAGGGATCAGGGGTGGAGCTGGGTAGGCTTAAGGGTGGGGTTTAGGGATCGGGGGTGGAGCTGGGTAGATTTAGAGGTGGGTTTAGGGAACAGGGGTGAAGCTGGGTAGGTTTAGGGGTGGGTTTAAGGATCGGGGGTGGAGCTGGGTAGGTTTAGGGATCAGCGGTGGAGATGGGTAGGTTTAGGGGTGGGTTTAGGAATCGGGGGTGGAGCTGGGTAGGTTTAGGGGTGGGTTTAGCGATCAGGGGGTGGAGCTGGGTGGGTTTAGGGATCAGGGGGTGGAGCTGGGTAGGTTTAGGGGTGGGTTTAGGGATCGGGAGTGGAGCTGGGTAGGTTTAGGGATCAGGGGTGGAGCTGGGTAGGCTTAAGGGTGGGGTTTAGGGATCGGGGGCGGAGCTGGTAAGGTTTAGGGGTGGGTTTAAGGATCGGGGGTGGAGCTGGGTAGGTTTAGGGGTGGGTTTAGGGATCAGCGGTGGAGATGGGTAGGTTTAGGGGTGGGTTTAGGGATTGGGGGTGGAGCTGGGTAGGTTTAGGGGTGGGTTTAGGGATTGGGGGTGGAGCTGGGTAGGTTTAGGGGTGGGTTTAGCGATCAGGGGGTGGAGCTGGGTGGGTTTAGGGATCAGGGGGTGGAGCTGGGTAGGTTTAGGGATCAGGGGTGGAGCTGGGTAGGTTTAATGGTGGGTTTAGGGATCAGGGGGTGGAGCTGGGTGGGTTTAGGGATCAGGGGGTGGAGCTGGGTAGGTTTAAGGATCGGGGGTGGAGCTGGGTAGGTTTAGGGGTGGGTTTAGGGATCAGGGGTGGAGATGGGTAGGTTTAGGGGTGGGTTTAGGGATCGGGGGTGGAGCTGGGTAGGTTTAGGCGTGGGTTTAGGGGTCAGAGGGTGGAGCTGGGTAGGTTTAGGGATCAGGGGTGGTGCTGGGTAGGTTTAGGGGTCAGAGGGTGGAGCTGGGTAGGTTTAGGCGTGGGTTTAGGGGTCAGGGGGTGGAGCTGGGTAGGTTTAGGGATCAGGGGTGGTGCTGGGTAGGTTTAGGGATCAGGGGGTGGAGCTGGGTAGGTTTAGGTGTATGTAAGGTGGGAGGAGTTGGATCTGGATCCGACTCCTCCCCGTGGATTTCATGCAAGGGAATATGCAAAGCTCTTGCAACACACCTAAAATACACCGTACACAAAAAAATAATTCTCCATGAAAACAAAAGGTCTGTTCCGAACCACTTTTAGGCATCATTAGAGTGTTTCAGACACAAAGGCTTAATCAAGGGTTTGGAAAAGAGCTTCTGTGAGCACACGTAGAACACAGCGGATGTGGAAGCAAGCAGGAACAACATGTGCAACAACATAATGAGAGACTTCAGAAAAGCCCTGATTCAACTCACCATCGAGAGATCACATCCACAAAGAAATGAGTCCAGCAGAAACAGCAAAAAGAGTAAATTATAAATACATCCAACAGAAAAATAACCCATCAAAAGAACACAGAAAAAAGAAGAAGAAGCCTAGATATTTGGAACAAGTGCCAACGTTGGTCTTGATTGTCTTACCCTTCTTTTCCCTGTTCTCCCAAGCTTTCTCCCTCCTTTCCCAGTCTGGTCAGGTTCATCTTGGTTTCAAGAGTCATGAGAAAAGAACCGTTGTACGAGATCTCCAGGTCGAACCAAAGGCCTGCCAAGGGAGACAAGTTTGGTCACGTTTAAAAATGAATGTCACTGCAGAGTACATGCATGGGTAAGTTTAGGGATTGGGGTGGAGCTGGAACAAAAAAATGTTAATCTATGTAAATGTTAATCCGTCCGCACTAGCCATTATTGTTAATGTAAGGAGATGTAGACGTGTTGTTCAAGCATTAATGCCAAGGAAAGCCTCTTATACTGAGAGCGGCTCATATGAGGAGTTTCTCCATCATTTCTGCTTCAAGATCTCGATAAACTGTGGCATTTCTCTGTTGTGTTGAATAAAGCATTCCCGTGATTATTTTGTCTTTTCCGAGTTAAATGATGATGACCTGTGTCTCGTCTTCTGTCCAAACACACATGCCATCTTTAAAGAGCGATCGACTGTTGCGTGTGTCAGGTGAACACTGCACAAACACTGTTTCTATTGCAATTTTGCAAAATATTCCTGTTTCGAATTGCCTGAAAAAACACATCATACGAGAATTAAAACTTATTAGTGATATATGAGAGTTTTTGTGAAATTTACGTGTTTCCATTGGGCATATTTTCAATTCGCTATTTCAATGTCACAATTTGAAGGATAATGGAAACCCGGCTAATGAGCGCCGCAAACAAACAGCAGCCGCCTTTTACAGCTTCTCCTGAACCAAAACATCAAGCCTATGCTGCGTTCACACCATTTCGTAACCACAATCACGAGATGGCGACCTGTGACGTTCAACCCAGAGCTGTTCGGGTTTATATGTTTCTATATCAACACCGTCAACGCTGAAAAGAATCTGCAGCAGTCAGGTGGTGCAACTAGAGCTCTATAAGTGGTTTACGTTCATTATTAATGTAATGTTATGTGCTTTGAGACATAAGGTAGTTAAACGCAGTTTCTCATGACGCCTTGCATGTGTTTTTTAGGAGGTGGCGTGTCTTTGGAGACGCTCTGAAGGGACTATAGGATCTCATGCTTTCAAAGCTAACTTGTTATCGTAGCCTCTCCACAATTGCACACATTAAAGGAGTAGTTCACTTTTAAAAAAACTTTTGCTGATAATTTACTCACCCCCATGCCATCCAAGATGTCCATGTATTTCTTTCTTCAGTCGAAAAGAAATGAAGGTTTTTGATGAAAACATTCCAGCATTTTTCTCCATCTAATGGACTTCAATGGGAACCAAATGGTTCAAAGTCCAAAAGACAGTTTCAGTGAAAACTGTTCAAAGGGCTTTAAACGATTCCAGACGATGAATGAGCGTCTTATTCTGTGATTCTGTTTGTGAATCTCCTGTTTGAACTCTTTGAAATCTTTTCCCGAGTCAACTCATTCATTTCGTTTGTTGAATTAACCAAATGACACAAAAAAGATTCGTTCATTTTGATGAACTAGTTTGAACAGGAGAGTCACGAACACACATCACAGAACAGAGCAAGGCGAGCATTTGAGCTTATAAAACTTAAACTTTGTTATTTATATTTTAAATGAGTGTTAGTTTCGCTTGATAAGACGCTTATTCATCGTCTGGAATCGTTTAAAGCCCTTTGAACAGTTTGTAGTTTGCACTGAAACTGTCTTTTGGACCTTGAACCGTTTGGTTCCATTGAAGTCCATTATATGGAGAAAAATCCTGGAATGTTTTCATCAAAAACCTTAATTTCTTTTCAACTGAAGAAAGAAAGACATGGACATCTTGGATGACATGGGGGAGAGTAAATTATCAGCAAAAGTTTTTTTAAAAGTGAACTACTCCATTAAGTTTCGCTAGCCCACAAAGCACGATTACTTAACTTCTGTACTACTCTGACACAACGAGTATAAATTCGGATGTTGTCCCCTGAAAAACATGCACAGCATTACTTTCCTTGACATTTCCCAGATTCAAACATCATCCCCCAAATGAATCTGGCTGAACTCTACACCCAGCATGAGGACACACTGATTAAACCGATGCAGGAGTCGCCAGTGAACCCCTGGGTCTCCTCCTGAGCGAGTGAAAGGTTAGCGCTGGAGTTTGCTCCTCTCTGATTGGCTCAGACACACACTGATCCCCTAAACCCAGCGGGTCGCTTCCTAGATGACGAATGAGAAGTTTAACAAGCTGGCAGGGGTCTGGCCTTTTTCCAAATCACAAACACATCCACTAGAGCAGTAACTGTAGGGGTGCGGCTCCATCGGCACTTATAGGCAGAGACACACAACAATTCCGTATTATGAATTTTTAAGACCTGACAAGTAATTTTTCACCACTTGCACCTCTGAACATGTTTCTAAGTTTGCGTTCTCGAGCCCCAAACACTGCTGTAGTGCGGCTGAACGGCCAGAACACACACTGTCGTGTTACTGGCCCCTAAGTTAATAACTGATAAATGGAAGTGAATCAATCAAAACTAACTTTAGCAGGACAATAACTTTATTCTAGAGCTGCCAAACAATCTCTGTTACTGTAATCTCCACTGTAAAGCTGCTTTGAAACGAGCTATATTGGTAAAAGCGGTGTATAAATGAAGGTGACTTGACAGAGATATAGCTTGACTGTGTCAGTGAGGCACATATAATGGTTTCGGTAAAAGATTCGAGTATGTATAGAGGAAAAAGATCACAAGACACTGCTGAAAGAACCAAAACTTCAAATAAAATGGACGAAAACGTAAGCAATGGCTCAGGTAAGTTGATTTGGTTCAATACTTAATCAATCATTTATATCTAGAGCACGTTCACAACCAAAGTGCTTTACAAAGAGTAAAATAACAAACCAAAAAGGCCAAAATAAGTAATAAGCAATCAATGGAATAAAAGAGAAACCAAAGCCAGAGTGAATAAATAAGTCTTAAGATTTAAAAATACAAACAAATATAACCCAAAGGTGTTGGGTCAGTATATTATTACAGTGTCTACAGTGTTCACTGGCCACAATTTTGACATTGATATCATAGGACAAAAAATGGCATTTAGATGTATTTAATATCATCTCATAATTTGGCGGCCGGTATATTAGGCTGCTGTTACTTTAAGACCTGACGCACGGATCCATTAAAATGTTTTATATAGCCAATATACTCGTCCTTATGTGCCGCACTTTGGGTGTGAGCACAAAATCTGCAGGATGAGTGAAATTATGCTCAATATGCACATTCAAGCCCTGAAACACCAACAATATCCATCCGGAGCAAATTTAAAAGACTGCAACTGAAAAATGTCTATCAAAGTGGCTAGTTGGAGTGACTGTGTTCGGCATGGTTTTTAATGTCAAGCCCTGAAATAACATAATATAAACTGTAGAGTCCAGACCAGACCTTACCTCTGTGATCTACGGATGGTTTGGAGGAGCTGAGGATCTTGGGAATGGATATCCCCATGTCCAGCTCAGTGAGGGTCAGCTCATTCATGAAGTATGGGAGCTGGAATAAACATTACACTAAGTTACTGTTTGAAACACACAGTCGGATAGTCACACACCTATCAGGACTCACCCTGATCTTACTCAGCTTTTTCTGGATCTTCTTGGACACCACATCTGCCCAGTATTTCTCTCCAAGAAAGTCCCAGAAGATGCGACCCAAAAGAGCATTGACCCAGGCCTCGGACTCGGCCTCCTGCTCACGACTCTCTGGAAACTACGAGACAAACGCAACAGAGCATACTTCTACTTTAGTTTTCTGGCAATGAGGAAGCTTTGCACTAAGTGTATGTAATATTTCTAAAAGATCCCCAAGTGTTTCACCTAAATATGCCACAGGAGGCTAGGTGTCAACATGGTTAAGTACAATGCAGTTTCCAGTAAATGTAACAAACAACAAGCATGTTACATAGAATACGGTTTGAAAATATGGAGTTAACTTTGTATGATTACAGGTTATAGAAATGTTTTCGAACATGGCTTCTCCAATGGTACACCATTACAACTAAGACTACGCTTACACTACAATGATATGAAACGGAGAAGCTTTCGGCATGCAGACGACACTACTGTCAAAACGGATCCGCGAAAACGGCTAAAAGCGCTGTATTCTGCTGCCAGACCAGTAGATGGCGACGAAACACTGTAGATAAACACGTAATACGGATGTGCGTGACGTCGTCGTCTTCAGAGATTCACGATTTTGTAGTTTTACACGGATAAACCATTTTCAAAAACTTGCACTTTGAAAACCGTTTTCAAAAGTTTGCGTTTTCAGGCGCGTAAAACACCGTCCAAAACGCATAAAAAGTTTTACGTTTTTAGTTGTCGTGTAAACAGCCCCTAAACCTGTTTGGATTTTAAATGTAAGATGCTTAGTCTGATTCATGTTTACCTTTTTGGCGGTTCCCGGGCTATTTCCAGCGCTCTGGAGAGGGCTTGCGGCTGGGCTGCCGGTGGACTGGCTCACATATTTGGCCATGTAGACGTTGTACTCCAGAACCTTCTGTTTGACACTGGCGCCGAGGTCTTTTTGCCTGGGATGAGACTGGAGCACTTCATCCAGACTGCCACGACTGCTGCTGCGACTCTGAGACAGACCGCCTGCCGAGAGAGAGAGAGAAAAAGAGAGAGAGGGATACATAGATAGAAAGAGGGAGAGATGGTTTGAAATGTACTTTTTGGCCAATTTGGCAACTAAATTTTCTTATTAATTTCTTTTTCAAACAAAATCCTGTCATTCAGCATAAATTTCTTGTATTGTTTTCTTAGTGCCTTAAAATATCTTGAATGGAACTTGACGCTCTCGCCTCATCTAGTATGCGTGGTTCTATGAATATGCAAATGAGCCCCGCCTCCACTCAGTCACTCACTCACTCAGCGATCCACTGGTTGACGATCACACGTTGATCTGATTGGTTACAAGGTCATTTGTGATTTTGGTTCACTGCAGTTTTAAGCAGAAAATACTCGCTACTGCTGTCGACTTATGAACTTACACATGGTTCGTCTTAAAACATATTAAAAACACCACATAGACACATAAACAACATTAAAAGCTGGATTTTCACCACAGGGGGAAGTTTCACACAACTGAAGAACGCTGAATCACAATCAGTCTCCGGTACGTTACGTGATAGTTTCAGCTGCAGTTCACTTAACGACCACCGGTGTCGCTAATAACACTAATACAGCCCATTTACCGAAAGAGCTACTGATCAGAATCAAGCGCCACTAGTACAGAGAAGCTTCACTCTTACTTGTAGGCAGGCCCGAGGGCTTCTTGGCTTCGTATTTCAGTTTGGAGGCAAACAGCATCCTCCTGAACCACTCCTCCTTGTCTCGCCCGGTCCTCCCGAACAGGTACAGCACAGGTTGTGTGTGCACTCTCTTGGGTTCCTCCGTGACGGCCACGCTCTCAGGCTTTTCTCCGGGGACAAGGGTCTTCTCCTCCGACACCTCGCTCCTCTCGTCCTGAGCTTTGGCCATGAAGTCGTCCTGCTTGGCCAGCTCGATGCAGATGGGGTACTTCTTGTTCCACACCCTTTTCCGGGCCAGGCTCTGGGGCACCAGGTAGATCTGCAATACCACCACTCAAACTCAACCTTCATTTGCTATATAGATTGTAAATATAACATTAATAGTATCTAAAGGGTTAAAGGAGTTTTGTTTGGCAAAAGAACAATGTTTTTAGTGAAATGCTATGGAAGCTTGTTTCCACCACAGAACAAAACATTATAACACAATTGCGACTAACACACAATTGCGACTGTCATACAATTGCGACTTAATATCACGTAATTCTCACTTTAATAACATGCAATTGCGACTTCAACACACAATTGTGACTATATCATGCAATTCTAGCTATAGTACAATTCTAACTTTATAACACGCAATTGCGACTTTAACATGCAATTCTGACGATAACACAACTGCAAGTTTATAACACGCAATTCTAACTTTAAAACACGCAATTGCAACAATCACGCAATTGTGACTTTATATCATGCAATTGCGACTTTATAACATGCAATTCTCACTTTATAACATGCAATTCTCACTTTATTACACGCAATTCTCACTTTATTACACGCAATTGCGACTTTATATCATCCAATTGCGACTTTAACACACAATTGTGACTATATCATGCAATTTTAACTATAACACAATTGTGACTTTATAACATGCAATTCTAACTTTATTACACGCAATTGCGACTTTATATCATCCAATTGCGACTTTATAACATGCAATTCTCACTTTATAACACGCAATTCTCACTTTATTACACGCAATTGCGACTTTATATCATCCAATTGCGACTTTAACACACAATTGTGACTATATCATGCAATTTTAACTATAACACAATTGTGACTTTATAACATGCAATTCTAAC